CATATACAATATGTCTTGCAACACATCTGGTCTACAGAGCCAATTCCTGTTATGAGAAAGCCAATGCCGGTGTGAGGAAATGCACATATGTTTTATATTATTTTCTTCAGTGTTATTTAATGACAAAAGACTATTGTTCTAACCCCTTCATAGGCATTTCTCTGTGTACTCTGATGACAACAGAGGGAAAATCTTCTAAAAGAAAGAGCCACAGGTACAACCACTAGTGACAAAGCGGCCCCTCCTCCACCTCTCCCACGAACTCCATAACCTCCACAACTGCACAGTGCAGTCCAGCAGGAGGAACAGCTCCTGTAAGCCAGTAATTCAGTAGGTCAGAGCAACATTAAATACTGTGCTGTTGGGTGGAAAATTCTGTAAATGATTAGATATAATAGCACTTTTTTTAAATTTTAGATTTCATCAGAGGACATGTTACATGGAGCATCCTCACCCGCATGTTCAGTGAATGTCTACGTTTCCCAGATCTTCCTGTTATGACATTGTCTACTATGTTGCACTGAGCAAACGTGAGATGTGAACATGTGCTTGTGGAATTACATGGCGTGAGAAACGATCACACAGGTGTGATAACCGGTAATTATATCTTAAACATGCAGTCAGGTGGTTCCACACGGCAGCATCCTGGCGTCGCTCCAGGGGGAGGGGCCACATTCCAGGCACTCAATGACCCAACATTCCATGTGTATGTGTTAGATGGTGTTGTTACCACATCGCAACGTGTTCAGAAGAGGGGGTTTGAGTCTCCTCAGTGCTGTTTGTCAACCAGCAAAATACCACTTTGATATGAAAGTTTTTGACTTTGTTCCATGTTCAAGAATCAGGAAACATTTATTGCCATAATATGTCAGACATACAAGGAGTTTGACTTGGCGGTTGGTGCATAACAGTACGGTAAGTACTACGACAAGACAACAGCACAGCTCCGCGATGTCCTGCTAGAGACAGCAGGTCTTCCTCTCAGTCACTGGTTTCTTAATGAGATCTTTTAAGGCCGAGCCAGGCCGGCTCAGGTGTGCTCATCCAGCTGACGACCCTCCAATCAGCACCTGTAACAACAATCACAACCACAAGCCGACCTGGGAGGATCGTCACACCACCCCCCATAAAAATAGGGTTCCCATCAGGATTCCCTAAAAAACCTGAAAACATTTTACAGTATTAGCAAGCCCTCAAAAATACACATTTAATACCGATTACCCAAACCTGTAAATGCAGCTTTGAAGCAGCAGAGGAGAAGGAGATGGACAACCGTGAATTAGAGAGAACACAGTTAACCTCTCAAGAGCAAGGCGCTCTTGACAAAGCATCAGCCACAATATTTATCTACACAAGGGCAAGAGCCTCCTTCTCTATGACCGAATATTTCAACCGGTAAGAGTTACATTTTTTAGAGAAAAAAAACTCACTGGGCGCTCAACACCATTTTCCTCATACTGAAAGAGCACAGCCCCGGTTCCCACATCACTTTCATCCTCTTGCAACTCGAATGGACGCTCCATGCAAGGGGCCACCAGAAAAGGAGGTGAACACAGGACAGCCTTAACATTTACAAAAACTTGCTGACACAAATCTGACCAGAGGTACTTTGCTCTAACCTTAAACAGATTTGTCAGCGGGGCTACTACTGTTGAAAGGTTTCTACAAAAACTGCGATAATAACCCACCAGACCCAAGAAACGCATAAGATCTGTCTTGGTGGTGGGCACTGGATACTGCTCAATTGCAGACACTTTGGCCTGTACCGACCTTACTTGCTCTTGGCCCACTACCTTCCCAAGGTAGGTGACGGTAGCCTTCGCAAACTCGCAAGGTTGATAGTTTCGGAGTCGATCAAACAGCTTCCTTATGCGTGTTCTTCCCAGGTGTTGCTGTAGATCACTACATCATCAAGGTATACCGCACACCCATCCAGTCCCGACACAACCATAGTCATTAGACGCTGAAAGGTCGCTGGTGCATTCTGCAACCTCATCACTGAGGAAGAGAAAAGTCCAAAAGGGGTTAGAAAGGCAGATCCTTCACTGGCTTGTTCAGACAGGGGCTCTTGCTAATAACCCTTGAGTAAATCAAATTTACTGACAAAGTGAGCAGATCCCACCTGATCCACACAATCCTCCATCCGTGGCAAGTGGGTAAGCATCTGGTTTAGTAACTGCATTTACCTTATGATAATCTGTACAAAACTGAGGACTTGTATCTGCTTTATCAACAAGCAGACAGGGAGATGCCCAGCTGGATGAATAAGGTACCGCAATATTATTTATGAGCATGTAGTCTATTTCTTCTTCCATTACTCTGCTTCTGTTCTGACACTGACACTCTGTAAAATGCTGGGGGATTGGCAATGCCCCACCCACGTCAATGTCATGCTCCATCAAATGTGTTTGAGTTGGGACGTTCGCAAAAAAACCCAGGTAGCTGTTGACAAGGGCAGACAACTCTAATGTTCCTTGGCCAAGTGCCTAAACAAAGTTACCCAGAGTTTCAGAGTTCTTTAACCGGCTGCGCAACAACAACTCAATCATCCTCATGCGCAGTCCAATCAAGTGTTCCCACAGTAGCTGTCGTGAGCACAGGTCTAACAGCTTGCTGTTGCCCACTTCCCACTGATGCAAAAGGCTGTGACCCACGAGTGTAGTAAGACTACAAGGCAAATCTGAGTTTTCTTCCTCAGCTTTAGTGTTGACAACAAATAGTTCTGCTCTGAAACTTGACGCAAAACTATGAACGGGCCATGAAATTTGGCTTGAAATGATAAACTAATAAGTGGCAACGAAGCAAGAATCTGATCACCAGGACTGAACTGGTGGAGCTCAGCATTTCAGTCATAAAGGCGCTTCATTTTCGTCTGTGTAGAAGCTAACCCCTCCTTAGCCAGAAGGCTGCCACGTACAACCGATTCCGGAATCAAAAAAATTTTTTTTTATTAATATAGTCGATTCAATTCTTGGGGGGGTTCAGGCTGTGCAACGGGATCATGCAGCAAAATTAGTGGCCTGCGTACTGTATGCCCAAACACAAGCTCATGCGGGCTGAACCCAGTGCTCTCCTGCACATCCTCTCTAGCAGCCAACAGCAACCAAGGAAGCCCCTCCTCCCAGTCCTGCTCTAGCTCACGAGCAGAGACTTTACAGTTTGAGGAAACCTCTCCTTTTCCCCCTCGACTGTGAGCATGGTATGCAGACGCTTGGTTATGTTTTACCTGGAGCTGCTTCAAGACTTGGATAAACAAATGGGAGGGAAAATTGGCGGCATTTTCTTACCAACAAATTATCCACCCTCAAGAGCACTTTATTGAACAGCTCTCCAAGTGCAGGATTGGCCCATTGCTCTGCCGATGATTGCCATACAATCATCCCGAGGCCGGAACTCACCGGGGTGCGTCAACACATATTCATCAGCCAGAGTGGCTGCTTCTGCAGCTGTTTTAACTTTACGTTCACTTATATACGTAGATATGTGCCTGTGAACAGAGTCTTTAAATTTCTCCAGAACCATCAAATCACACAATGCCTCATACGAATGGACCTCCAGTGATGTACACCAGCGGGTGAAGTGAGTGGTCAACTCCCTGGCAAACTTCACGTATGTCTTCCTCCCAGACTTCTCCCAAGATCTAAACCTCTGGCGGTATGCCTCAGGCACCAACTCATAGGCTTGTAATACTGCCGCTTTGACAGATACATACACTCTACTTTCCGCTACACTGAGAGCAGAATACGCTTGTTCCGCCTTACCGGTGAGAATGCACTGTAAAAGTAACGTGCGATCAGCATCTGACCAGTTTCTACTCACTGCCAGACGTTCAAACAGCAAAAAAAAAAAATGTATCCGGGTCTTGTTCACAAAATGGAGGAACCAACTTCAGATTAACCGTAACATAAAAAACATGTGAAGGCCCAGCAGAGCCAACGGAGACCTGCGCCAAGCCACCGCCATCCCGAACACTCAATCTGCGCTCTTCCAGTTCTAATTTTTTAATTTCCATTTTTAACAATAGGAACTCTTTGTGTTGTTCAAGTGTTAACTCTGTCACCGCCGCTCCACTAGAGGCAGTTGCATCAAATATGCCCGAAGCGGAATCAACAGCCTGCAGTTTTGGCCGGAGAACACCCACTTCTAACAAGTTTTTCCTTTTTTCATGTTTGAAAAGTATGCACTTTAACCCGTAGGCCCGGTAAAGCCACCATATACTGGCAACCCCCCTGAAACCTCGGACGTGCTCCCGAGACAACTGCTCTAACCACTTTTGTGACCACACTAATCAAGCAAACAAACTCCAAGGGAATCCGCTCTTCAGTCGAACAGGGACAGAACAGCAAATAATTCACAATGTACAGGGCACTTTACTCACACCATGGCCGAACAGCAAACCTACACAGGATTATCCTATGTTTCTATTTAGTATGTGTGATTCCAGCCTATGAAACAGTTCTATTGCAAAAATGTAAAAGCCATGGGTTAAAAATGCAATGTAAGTTGCTTTAGATAAGTGTCAGCTAAATTACCTGTAATGTAATGTACACCCTCAAACGTCTCCCCAAACCAAAACATCATGAAAAACCTTAGTCATACCATGTGGTACGCAGCCAGTTACGCTACAATTGCTACTCCAGCTGCATTCCACTGTCCCACCGGATCACCAAGGAATGGATGGGCCCCCATATGTCACAGTCCGGCTCAGGGACTGCGACAAACAAGTGAACTTCAAGAAGTGACTAGTTTATTGTTAACAAAAAACTACAATGTATGTGGTAGTCAGCCCAGAACAGCCCCCGCGATGTCCTGCTAGAGCCAGTAGGTCTTCCTCTCAGCAACCCGGGGTTTCTGGATGAGATCTTTTAAGGAGCCAGGTGTGGCTCATCCAGGTGACGACCCTCCAATGAGCAGCTGTAACAACAATCACAACCACAAGCCGACCCGGGTCGTGGGAGGGTCGTCACGGTTCTCTTAGTTAAGAAAAGCATGTGAGCATTTACTGTGTCCGCTGATGATGGCGCTTTTATTTTGTAGGTTGCGTAGCGGAAGTGTTGCCGCGTCACGCAGCAGCCTCCACGTCTCCCTGTAGCAGCACGGCGGCAAAAGGTAAACACGCTGATATTCTCTCGTGAAATAAACACACGGGACACACGCACGCACACACACACACACACACACACACACACACACACACACACACACACACACACACACACACACACACATCTAAGAGGGCTTATTTAATAAAAGGAAACAAATAACTTAGTCGGCTAGCCAGCCAGCTGAAAGTAACCGTGTCGTCTTAACGTTAAGTTAGTTATTAATTATTTCACTGTATTTCACGACCCCCATTCCTCATACTTGAGCAAAGACTCTTAAACGGTGGCTGGCTTTGCATCGGACTTTGGACCAGTGTCTCCTAACGAGCAGCCCTGCATTCATCTTAACCAGTGGGCTGCTAGCATCAGTGTGCTAACCGCTAGCTCGGGCTTTGTTAGCTAACGTCAACACTAGGTATCAATACGTCTGAAATACCCATTTCAGCTTGCCCAATGAAGGCTGATATAATGTTTGGTTTCTATGAGGGAAATGATTCTTGGGAACAAACTAAATCCCTTTACCCACCTTTTAGTGCCGTCATATTGTAAGACATGTAACTTTTATGAAGTTCTCTGCATATTTTTCGATTGAAAAGAAACCACAAACAAATCCAAACAAAAACAAAGAGGAGGGGAAATTCCACAGGAAACGGGCTATTAATCATTTTAATGATTTTTCTTACAGGAAAATAAGAGGCCTTTAACTCCGTTGTGCAGTTTGGGCTTTTGTTAGGCCGTAGCCATGACGACGGACTCCTCGCTCCTCAACTCCGAGCTGGAGCTTCAGCAGGAAGAGGAGCTTTACCAGCAGCTGCTGCTGCAGGTAATATTGCTTTAAAAAAATGAGCTGTGAAACTTTGGCCATCAATGTGTCAAATGATAAAACATTATACATCAGTTGTTCGTGTGAGTAAGGGCTCATTTACTTTCTTCTTTCTCATAACTCTTTTTGAGAGGAGCAATCCACACTGATGTGGGTTGTTATTTCTTAATTTCAAACGTGACAACGGGTTGTTTTAAAAGAAGCTGTGCTCATGTTGGGGAGCATATTTGTTTGCGTTAGGTCAGTGGTTCTCAAACTTCTTCCTCCAAAGTGGGCTTTGGAAGAAAAATGTTCGGGCCCCAACAAAAATTTAACAAAATGGTCCATGCTGAATTTTTATTGAAATAAGGACATTTTGTGACTCTGTGTGTGCTTTTATTAACTCTTAATAATAGAATAAAGAAAATGTAAGTCACTTTCATGTAAACCAGATTGCTCCATCAGCCAAAAACAAATAAAATGTGCAATCACTTATCAAGCAAATTAAAAAAAAGAACTAATATTTGTCAAAAATAGCTTATTGTCCTTGAGCAAGACACTGAAGTCCCAGTGCTTCACAGCAGCACACTGCTCCTTATTTACTAAGGACGGGTAAAATGCAGAGAACAATTTCCCCATGTGGGATTAATACAAGATTATAAATAAAATAATAATAATAATTATAAAAAATAAATAAATAAGAACAAATAAAATAATCTACATTTCCCCTCGCGCCCCATATGTAATATCTCCGTCCCTTTAACTCAATCAGAGTAAACAGGACGTGGAATATAGGCCGAGCGTTCATATAAACAAGGAGGGAATATGATATGCTGCAACAACACATCCTGATTGTAAATCACTTATAAATCAGTTGCCAACAAGCCCTTTTTAGTTTGTTATCCTATTTGGTATGTTTGAATCACTTTCTTGTCCTGTCCTCTGCTATGACACTTAAGCATTCATCTCACAAACTTTTCTTTTTATGTTGAATATGTAATAAAATGCATACGTGAACTTGTATAGATTGCTGTCTGTGTATTTAGACAATGGGAAAGATGCAGACTGACAATCCAGACTCCAAAGTAATCCGACCACAGCCGGGTACGTGCCTCCTCACTACGAGTTCTACCAAAATACTCAACTTTGGAAGTTTGTTTATGTAAAGGATTTTTTGTGCATGTTTATTTTTCCCCTCTCTCAGGCATGTGTGTGAAGACTCTTTCGGAGCCAAGCAAGCAGAAGGTCTTCATCAACATTTGTCAGTCGAACGCAGTACCGCTGCCTCCGGAAATCTCCAGAGAGGAGCTGGTGCAGCTGCTCCAATCGGAAGATCCCAGCGGCTACAGGGTACCCATGAGCATCGGCGAGCCCCACACAGAAATAGACAACAGTATGTGACCCGAGAGCTTTATTTTTCTCTCTTTTCTTCTCTTTGCTGCGATTTAATTTAATTGCCTCCAAGCGTCTCTCTACGTGGAGGCAGCTCGACGGCGGCTAGCTATTGGTGCAATCAACGGCCGGCGGCTGAAGGCGGCGTGGGTCGGGACGACGTTATGAGCTGTAGCAAGGGACCCCATGGATTACAAAAGCACGCTTTGGGACTTTTTTGTCTGTTTGCAGAAGACAATTATTCGTCATCAAATGTAATTTAAAAGCCAATGCCCAGCTGATTTCAGTGAACTGCAAAACATAAAGTTACAGATATAAATAGCGAGTTGAAGACTTTCCGCAGTAAATGACACCGCTAGCCGCAAAGTGAGTCTGCCTTCACGTCTGTTGGCAGGCTGAAGCAGACCGCTTCGGACAAGTTTGATTCTGGGATTTCAGTGGGAACCCGAATAAACCCCAGACCAGCTGTGTGCTGCGTGTGAGAGAGAGATGAACGAAAGAAAGAAAGATCAGGGCCATTCCTTTGGTCCTCCACAAGACGGTCTCCCCACTGTGTTGGGATTGCGTCATTGTGGCTCAACGTCATCGATCACAGATCCGCGGCTGGGTTTTTAGTTTTTTAGGGAACAACATCACATTTGCTTTGGCGGCCAAAATTCCCACTCAGCCCGGCACTTGGTGCTCATTGCTTCTAGTATGCAGACCTTTTACTGTGATAACCGGAGGTGAAAAGTTCCTTCATGGTCCGAGGACTTGACCCATCCTTCATGACCATAGGTGAGGGTAGGAACGAAGATTGACCGTTAGATCGAGAGCTTTGCTCCGGCTCAGCTCTCTTTTTGTTACAACGGTGCGGTAAAGCGAGTGCAATACCGCCCCCCGCTGCTCCGATTCTCCGGCCAAACTCACACTCCATCTTCCCCTCACTCGTGAACAAGACCCCGAGGTACTTGAACTCCTTCACTTGGGGTAAGGACACATTCCCTACCTGGAGTAGGCACTCCATCGGTTTCCTGCTGAGAACCATGGCCTCAGATTTAGAGGTGCTAATCCTCATCCCGACCGCTTCACACTCGACTGCGAAACGCTCCAGTGAGAGTTGGAGGTCACAGACGGAAGATGCCATCAGGACCACATCATCTGCAAAAAGCAGCGATGAGATCCGCAGCCCCCCGAACTGTAGACCCTCCTCCCCCCGACTACGCCTCGATATCCTGTCCATGAAAACCGCAAACAAGATTGGTGACAAGGCGCAGCCCTGGCGGAGGCCAACCCCCACCGGAAACGCCTTCGACTTACTGCCGAGCACCCGAACACAGCTCTCGCTTTGGCCGTACAAGGATTGGATGGCCCCAAGCAAGGACCCCCTCACCCCGTACTCCCGCAGCACCTCCCACAGTTTCTCTCGGGGGACCCGGTCATACGCCTTCTCCAAGTCCACAAAACACATGTAGACTGGATGAGCATACTCCCAAGCCCCCTCTATGATCCTGGAAAGAGCGAAGAGCTGGTCCGTTGTTCCACGACCAGGACGAAAACCGCATTGTTTCTCTTCAATCCTTGGTTCGACTATCGGCCGAACCCTCCTTTCCAGCACCTTAGAGTAGACTTTACCCGGGAGGCTGAGTAGTGTGATACCCCTGTAATTGGCACACACTCTCTGGTCCCCCTTTTTGAAGAGGGGTACCACCACCCCGATCTGCCACTCTTTTGGCACTGTCCCAGACTTCCCGCTAGTGTCCCAGACGTCCCGCTAGTGTCCCAGACGTCCCGCTAGTGTCCCAGACGTCCCGCTAGTGTCCCAGACGTCCCGCTAGTGTCCCAGACTTCCCGCTAGTGTCCCAGACGTCCCGCTAGTGTCCCAGACGTCCCGCTAGTGTCCCAGACGTCCCGCTAGTGGCGACATGTTTCTACAATGTCTTTGTCACGGCCAAGTGTGACCTCGTATCACTGCTGAGAGAAACATCAGTTCAGAAGGGAGTTGCATGTACCGGCTGTAAGACTTTGCTTCCTGCTTTGAAGTCGGCAAATTTCCAACTGTGTCTTTGAACTCGTACACACGAGGTGAGGTATTCATGTGGTTATATTACTCATTAGTCGCAATGTTATTTTTTGGCACTTCCTGTGCCTAAGTAACGCAATGTAGGCGGTGAAAGGTTCAGGACAAATCTCTTGTGCTCACTTTCTGTTTCCTCTCTAAAACTGAAACAGTCACTGGTTGAAATCCCCAACATATGAAATATGAGAGCTGGAGCTACAATGTGTCTATATTTGTTACTTCCCATTATCCAAATATGGTCCACCAGAAGTGGATTGTTTGTGTTTGGCCTGGGTCGATATTTTCCATCATAGTCCCTTTGTCCTGAAAGGATGTGTTTTTGTCTTCCGTTTCAGACTCACAGGGTTGCACAGCGTATGATGTGGTCGTCAACCAGGAGTTCTTCCACAAGTGCCAGGTGTGTGTGTGCGTGCGTGCGGCCACTTCTTTCATTCATTATGTTTGTTTTTGTCCTTATGGGATGTGGGATGTGTCTTGCAGGATGATCCCCTGTTCCAGCAGTTCATCATTTTGGTCTCTTTAGAGGGTTTGGAGAACAAACATGATCTGGAGCTAAGTAGAGGTCAGTGAGAGTGTGTGAGTGTGTGTGTGAGATTATCCTTTGGAGTAGATGTTGAGTTTTTTCTTTTTTTTCTGTGTTTCTTTAGACTGGAAAGTGTTGAAGAACCGAAAGTTCTTGGGTTCTGTCAGTGAGCAAAACATTCGGACAAAGAGCAGGCCGGTGATTCAAGAGCTGCAGCCTCAGTACGTCCCTGCGGTCTCCGTCTCAGTGTGGACGGGCTGGTCAGCAGAAAACAGGACCTCTCCGGGCTTCTGTTTCTAGGCCTCCTCGTTGGCACCGGCACATTTTTCTTGATGTTATCACTTGAAAGGAGGAAATGATGCTCCCATAACAGGCGCCCACGTGTTTTCTTTCCCCCACAGAGAGAATTCCCCATCGACGCCCAAAAGGTAAACCTCCTCTTATCTTCACAGCAACTCGCCGTATTACATCATTTCTTTTTTGGTCTCTGGCTTGTTTGCTTCCCGTTCCTCTGTTCTCTGTGCCTACTCATCACCCTCTCTGTCTGCAGACCAGAGTTCACGTTGCTGGTGGAGCCCCCTGCTGGTGATCCAGAGTGCCTCATTGCAGAAATAAAGCTGCCTGGAGTGGTGAGACACATTGCCGTTGGATCTGTGGGAAACACTGCTGCCTAGTTGTTTGTCATCACGTCTGGGGTGAAAATTATCTGTTCACCTTTGACCCCTGGACCAAGAACCACAAAGAGTCAGTGGAGCATACTGATGCAGTGAGTTCAAAGCTCACATGCCACCAAAGCTCCCACGGGCTAATCGGGCCAAGTTGAAGAAAACTAAACAAAAGTCGTCTTGGAAATGCCCGGGACCAGTATGAGCCTGTTTCCATTGAAAGGAATGGCAGATAACTGATGTAGCCATAGCCTCATATAAGGAATGGCATTTTCCAATTTTCCAAGGGCCTAACCACGCATTCTTTAGAGAGGTTGTGTGTCCCCCCCCCCTCTCGTAGATCGTAGTAGCGGACCCATCCGATGTCTAAGCCATGGTTACGCCCCTTCGTATTTTCCAATGCTGGCTCTTAGGATGTGTAATGACAAAATACTATGGAGTGTCTCGTTGCCACATGCAGAGACAGACTGTCAGTGTGGGTGAACTTGTCTCCCGTGCAGTCGTCGTCTCGCTCTCTGCTTCTGGACCTCGGAGAGGACCGACTGGTGTTGACAGCTCGGCCCTCGCTCTTCCATCTGGACGTCTTCCTCCCCTTCCTGGTGGACCAGGAGAACAGCGTGGCACAGTACAACGGCAGCACTCAGGTTCACAAAAAGCACCTAATGTGATTACACAATGCATTTCTATCAGTGTACTACATTAGAGGGCGGTCGGAACATACTGTACATCATTATCCATGCATCATTCCACAGCAGCCAAGCTCCACCTAAAAAAATGTAAATCAGTCCAAGTGTAGCCTCCATGTCCACTTATGCTGTCGGCAGCAGTGAATGGTGGCAGTGTCTTTGTGTTGTTTCAAAAGGTTGGTTAGCTTTCACTAAAGTTACATAATTCATGGCGCTCGAGGGAGCCCGTGAAATTTTTCCGTCTGAGGTAAGAGATTGAGTGTAGGAGTATGGTTTGCTACCGGGCCCATACAGGGAACTTTGTTTTTACAAAACGCGTGCCTGCCAACAGCCTGCATATAATACATCAAGCACAGAGTTGTAGCTGACACAGCACCACCTAAAAGCACTGACACACACACACACACACACGGTTCATTTACTTTCTGTTTTCTCTCCTAGATCCTCACAGTCACGGTGCCGGTGGTGTCCTCATGAAATGAAGGATGTAATGCCTTGTTATCTTTTGTTGAAAATAATGACGCTGTCATAATAAAAGCATATTTTTTAAAATAAGCTACTTTTCTGTGTCATTTTAAGTGTTAGAGTAAAATGTCGTAATGAGGACAGTTTTTGCTGCGTAGACCAAATTCCAGGACAGTTGGAGATTTCCTCACATCTGCTTTTGGCCAGTTACCCACTAAGCAGCTGCTGAATCCCAGAGCTCGGGCCTGTTGGGGCAGGGAAGCGCCTCTTCACTCACAGGCCGTTCCATCCACATCTGGTGGCCCTCAAGTGTAAACAGCCGCTGATGAAGGCCACCAGATGTGTCTGGTCGTTAAACATGAGTGTGACTGTGGGAAAAACACTCGTTAGTATTTGTAGTGTAGGTTCCTTTTGTTCACACTTTATTTTCAAAGAAGGCAACAAACACATACAATTGGCTCGGCTGCCTTCCTTGGCTCGCTGTCTCGCTGGTATGTGGTATATGTTACCCAGGTGCATGCTGGTCCTACCTGGCTAATAACCCACAGGTGCCCAACAGTGGTTCAATTACCCAAACAGTTAACCAAAACTACAGATACTTAGTGACAAAAGGGTCTATGTGGCGCAGGGGTAGAGCGGGTGCGCTAGTGGTTTGCTGCCCCGGCTGCTCCAATTCCCATGTCGAATTGTCCCTGAGCAAGACGCCTAACTCCTCGTTGCTCCCCGGGCAAAAATGTAAAAAGCCACAGGTCAAAAATATAATGTTAGTTGCTTTGAATAAAATCGTCAGCTAAATGACCTGTAATGTAAAAAATAATTAAACCAAATACAAAAAGATATCTTAATACTATATCAACAAACAATAATATTTAAGAATAAATAACTGAAAAATAATATCTCCCACAGTATTGCACGGCTTTCTTTTGGCCAAGTGCAGACCCTTGAAAGCGGACTGGCCATCTAGCAATCCAATGGCTCTTTTTCATAGAACCCTTTCACTAATTATACTTTTAACAGGGCCTAAATATATTTGACCGTATCTTACTTCTAATATTAGAAGTAAGATACGGTCAAAAAAAAAAAAAAAAAATATATATATATATATATATATATATATAGCCTCTTAAAACGTTCAACATTGAGCAATGTAGCAGGCACATTGAACTCCTCGATGTCAGTCCCGATCATGATGATCTCAGCCAGAAGACAGTTTGTAATGTGCTCCGTGTGTGCAGCTCTTTCTGTGATGGGGGGAAAAAAGCGTCACTCTTCTATATGTGGCTCTGCTTTGAATCACCCCTCCGCCTGCAGCTCCTCCCCCCTCACTTTTCTTATGTGCCGCCCTCCCGAGTGCTGCAGAGCAATCGGCGTCTGTTGAGCTTTCATGCGTCACTCTGCTGCAAAGTGAGGAAGAGGACGGGTTAAAAGAGCACAGCAGAAATGATAATGCGCTTTCATTTTGTTCGCCATGCTTTTGCTGACAACAGACAATGATGAGGTTGATGGCCCATTTGTCTGCATGTCTTCTGCCACCTTCCTGCCCCCCCCCTCTCCTGCTCCGCTCAGACTGTCGGGTGGCAACCATCATTTATCAAACTGCTTCTGTGGCCTCTGTCCCGTGCCAGATCTTCCCTCCCATGTTTCTCTGTCTGATCTGGTCTCCCCCCCTCTCGGACCGCAGCCCTCCGTTGGTCCAGTGAGGTCATCCCTCTGTTCTCCCATATCCTGCGAGGTGCTCGTCTTTCTGCCTCCGCTTAATCCGCCTGTGGCCCCCAGCCCTGACCACACACACACACACACACACACACAAACGCACACACACACACACACAGACTCACAGTTATTCTTGTATCATATACTCGGACACCCGGTAATTCTCACAGCATGTACATTCATTGACACACACACAGGGCCCCTCCACCTCTCAATATAAACCCCCTCTGTTTGTACATTAGCCATTCTGCGTATCTCAGCCCCTCTCTGTTGTGTCGGGTGGTACCACACCTTCATTCAGGTACGTCTGTCTGTCTTTAATGCGCGCTTCAGTCGAGAACGATTCAAGCAAATAGTTTTCCGTTTATTTCACCATCGCAGTGGACACTTTGCATGCTTTCTTTTCCTTTCTTACTTGGAATGCTCAGCAAACATGTTTACTTTATTTTGCAGTTGCGTAATCTGTCAGTGAACAGCTTCCTGTATCTTCAGCAGTCCCAATCTCGGGTGTGTGAGCGTTCCTGAATGCAGCACGGTGAGGAAATATCTTTGAAACCTCAAACATCTTTTGTCATGAAAGAATGACAATGTAAAAAAATGTGGCCTAAATGAATGATTAAATCTGATTATCAGTGTGAACCATAGATGCCATTTTTCACTGATATTAGTTTGATACTGATTATTATATTGTTCATTTATCTCCGGAAACAATTCAAGTTAATGCAATGTTAAAAAAGGTTTTGAAAAAAAGTTTTTCTCAGGAAAAGTACGCATTCAAGGGTCTTTTCACTCAGATTACAAAAAAAACAACACATTTTCTGAAACACTTCTACCCTTATCTAACGAGGAAAAAGCTTGATGCCTCGAAGCTTAGATGCCTGCTGTCGAAACTTTTACCGCTACACAAAAACTAAATGGAATAGGATTTTTCCCTTGAACAATCCAGAAACTTCTTGCAGTAAACAGTTATATGTACACAGTTTTATATGATACCCTTTGGATAACCCACTGTCTGCTGGACAGTGCATTTAAAGGAGTGGTGGTGTTTTAGAATTCAAATCATATTCCTTCTCTGCTTTTTGCAGCTCTCAAATTGCATTCAACATTAAATTACAGGTCATTTAGCTGATCCTTTTATCCAAAGCAACTTACATTGCATTTTTAACCCAGGGTTTTGTCCCAGATAGCAATTAGGGGTTATGTGTGTCAGCGACACTTCAACATGGGGGAGCCAGGGTTCAGCACACCTTCTCTACGACCGCTCAACAAATCTAGTGCATTTGTATTTATTGCAAACAACAGATACAACAAAATCTGGGGTTGCTGCTGATACTAGACACCTGGCTGCTGTGTGTTTGCAGCCACTTGTGCGTCTGTTAGTGCTGACACGTGCATATCACACAGCACCTTTATTATGTAGGGATAGATAGTAATACGCACGGTGGTCCAGTCACAGCCAGCTTATGGTCGCGTTCTGTTCCCCTGACGGAGGATGAGGTCGAATGCTCACAAAACAGAGACAAGGTTCCCACTTAGCTGCCAAGTGGTGATTTCGATTCTTTTTAATTAAGATCACAATAGCTGTAAAAGCCAAGAATCAAAATCGCGGCACCGTCTGGCCTGCATGTCCTTCACCAGCCTAGTTAGCTATCAGACCTTTGACATATCTTGTGTGAGTGTTTGTGTAGAACATTTACAAGTGGCTGCTTGAGGTCATTGTAGATGGTGGAATTAATTTTAATTCGTCATAGAAGCTCTATGGGAAGATAACTGTTGCTTGACATGTAAATCCATTTCAAGCAACACAAGAACTATTTTCCCAAATAGTCTCTCCAAAAGACGTGATAGTTTACAACAGCCTCTCTTTAATAACAATGAGGTAAACAAACACACACACACACACACACACACACACACACACACACGCACACATATTGCCCTTGACTAAAATTAACCCTGCTAAGGGCTCAGCCTGTTGTTGGATGGAACCTGAATCCTTTCCCAAATCCCCAGAGTCAGCCCCCACCTCCGCTCATCTCTCCATCCATCCTGTACCTATTCATAGGTCTTACCTTCACATAGCTTTGGAGTTAGATCTTCCCTCCATTTAAGATCACACTGCCCGAGCCTTTGAGCGGGGCAGTAGGCCGATTCTTATTACTCTTATTTCTGTCAGTTGTAGATATATTATAAGATACACCTTTTATATCAAAACCACACTAGATAGCTAGATAGGTATATACTTTGTTAATCCCCAAGGCACAATTTGTGTGTAGCAGTAGCAATACAGTAATTAAAAATGCACAATATATACACAATACAATAAAATAAAATAGAAAAAAGAAAAATACAATTATATACAGTGTTCGTGAGTAAACATTGTATATTTAGTGAAAATGAGTGTAAAAGAAGTGTACAGTTGAGTGGAATTGGTATAAAATAACATTAAGACAGTATAGTTCAATGGTAATTGATATTACATTAAGACAGTAGTGCAGTGGTAATTGATATTAAATTAAGACCTGGTTATTGGTAAAGTTCAATTAAATGAGGATTTAGCCAGAGGTGATTTGTTTTGCATTTGGCAGGAACGTTTTCCTGTTTCTGTCCCTGTGACAGCAGAGCTGCATCATCCTGCAGTAGGTGGGGAAGAAGATGCTCCGGGTTGTTCTCATACTACGCGGCTTACTTAAAGAAACAGTCCAATATTATTCTTGCAATAATTTCTTTATATATTGTCTGGCATTGACACACTGTATTGCTCTGCTATGTTGCAAGCTTGTTAGCAAACTGTGTCAATTACACATCCAACAGTTGTGGAGCATCATTTTCATTCATTTTGAGTGCTTCTCTCCTGCTGAATGCAAGTCCAAATTTCACTCTCTTTTGGCTCTGATTTTGGTCTCCACCAACTTCATAGGAAAATATGTTGCCCATTTAGTGATAAATTCCCCACTGTGTTTACCAGCGATCGCTGCTACTTGAGTCTGCCTAGTGAACAGAAACAGTAGTAGTTATTGGAGCCTTTTTTGAGAGCAGTGAGCGAGAAAAACACAGGGAAGTAGCAAATAGATAAACAACAAATACTGAAACTCACTATGAAGCTCCATAGAGTCCCCCTCTTTCTAGTCTTTATGCCAAGTTAAGCTTAGAGTAACACGTTGTATTTACCTCCAGACATTAGAGTGGTATCAATCAAAAAGGGCCAGTTGTTCTCTCTAAGTAGATCATTACATTACATTACATGTCATTTAGCTGACACTTTTATCCAAAGCGACTTACAATAAGTGCCTTCAACCATAGGGTACAAACTCAGAAGAACAAGAAACAAGAAAGTGCAATTTCCTCAAATAACCCAATTTACAATTTGCTATAGATAAGTGACGTTACAAGTACAATTCAAGTGCTACAATCTCTTAGTCTTTAGTCGAGGTGGAGTCTGAAGAGGTGTGTCTTTAGTTTGCGGTGGAAGATGTGAAGGCTCTCTGCGGTCCTGGTGTCTTCCGAGAGCTCGTTCCACCATTTCGGAGCAAGGACAGCAAAGAGTTGCGATCTAGTCGAGTGTTTTGCTCTCAGTGAGGGAGGAACAAGCAGTTTTGCAGATGCAGAGCGGAGAGTGCGGGTCGGGATGTCGGGTTTGACCATGTCCTGGATGTAAGCCGGACCCGATCCATTCACAGCATGGTACGTGAGCACCAGTGTTTTGAACTGGATGCGGGCGGCCACCGGTAGCCAGTGAAGAGAGCGGAGGAGTGTGGGAGAATTTCAGAAGGTTGAAGACCAGTCGAGCTGCTGCATTCTGGATGAGCTGCAGAGGTCGAATGGCGGTGGCAGGGAGACCAGCCAGGAGGGAGTTGCAGTAGTCCAAGCGTGAGATAACAAGAGCCTGAATCAGTACCTGCGCAGCCTTCTGAGTGAGAAGAGGACGTGTTCTCCTGATGTTGTAGATCTACAGGATCGTGTTGTCGCCGTGATGTTGGGAGTCAGGGAAAGTTGGTCGTCGAGTGTGACGCCGAGGTTCTTAGCGGTTAAAATGGGCCTTAGCACAGAGTTGCCAAAGTTGACCGTCACGTCCTGGGTCGGAGAATCTTTTCCCGGAAAGAGAAGTAGTTCAGTCTTGTCGGGGTTGATTTTCCGATGGTGGGCGGACATCCACTGAGAGATGTCAGTAAGACAGGCAGAGATCCGAGACGCCACCTGGGTGTCCGAGTGAGGGAAGGAGAGAATTAGTTGGGTGTCATTGGCATAGCTGTGGTAGGCGAAGCCATGCGACCGAATGACAGCGCCGAGAGAGTTGGTGTGGAGCGAGAAGAGGAGGGGACCCAGGACGGAACCCTGAGGAACTCCAGTAGTAAGAGGTCAAGGTTCCGACACAGATCCTCGCCAGGTTACCCGGTAGGTGCGGCCGTCGAGGTAGGACGAGAGAAGGGAGAGAGCAGAGCCTGAGACACCAAGTTCCTGAAGGGAGGAAATAAGGATCCGGTGATTGAATGTGTCAAATGCAGCAGAGAGGTCCAGAAGGATGAGGACAGAGGAGAGAGAGGCGGTTCTAGCAGTGTGGAGTTGCTCTGAGACCGCAAGGAGAGCAGTCTCTGTGGAGTGGCCTGCCTTGAAGCCTGACTGGTGGGGGTCAAGGAGGTTGTTACGGTGGAGATATGAGGAGAGTTGGCTAAAGGTTGCATGTTCAGTTTTGGACAAAAAGGGAAGAAGAAGAGAGGTCTGTAGTTGTTTTCTTCAGAAGGGTTGAGGGTAGGTTTCTTCAGGAGAGGGTTGACTCTTGCCTCCTTCAGAGAATTGGGAAAACAGCCAGATAACAGAGCATTGTTGATGAGACAGGTGAGGAAAGGAAAAAGGTCAGGTGCGATAGATTGTAGAAGATGTGATGGAATGGGGTCAAGAGGGCAGGTGGTCGGACGGGCAGAGGTTACTAGGGTGAGAATTTGGTTAGGAGACAGGGGGGTGAAAGAGGAAAGTGAGGGCGAAAGAGGTGAAGTCAGTGTAATGCAAGAAGTAGGAGGTGAGATCAGAAACAGCACTTGGCTCTGCAATGCCGCTGGGTTAGTATTGCAATGGATGTAACAGCAGATGTGGGAATGAGTCAAAGGCCTATATAATAAGACAGACAGATTGAGAGAATACAAGATTTTTTTTTTTTTTCTTCGCATGATGGTCTGTAGAGGGATAAAGGTTAAGAATTTAACCAGAATTTAAACAGAAACAGCTTCTTTCAAGCTGCTTCTGGTTTCAAATAAAGTCAGAATGTTCAGCACAGAGTAGAAATATGTTTGGCCGGAGGGAGGACAAAAGAGGAGACAGTGCGGCGGAAACTCGAAAGTGATAGAAACTCTATCTCAGCTTGTCTCTACGGGTTTAACCCGTCACATTCTCAACTGTTCCCGCAGCATCAATACTTGTGCGTCCAGTGCCAGGCAGGTGTCACTCCGCACGCACCCACTGTGTCTGTACGTGGTTCCACGCCAGGACAATGGCAGCTCAGAGGAACAATTTATAGCCGAAACCATGTCGGGGTGCATTGCGTCTCCCTCTGCTTATCTGTGTGTTTTTCTGTCTCCAAAGGGATTAATAAGAGCAGAGTATAGGAACTGTGGACAACCGTGATTAGTCTATGAGGAATCACTCACGTAGTTGTGCACAGCCCAGCCCACATCCACGTCACTATTTAACACCGCAAATGCCATCAAATGTTCCAGGTCTTTTTTAATAAATAATCATCACTTACAAGGCCACCAGTGGTCACGGCCTAACAATAAACTTAACATGCCCGTAGGGAACTACGGGGTAGATGTTTCGGAGGGTGGGGGGTGGACGGCAGTGTTTTTGAGCTCTGGATGGTAACCTGGCTACTGATTAAGTGAAAGGCTTTACCTGCTGATAGTGCAGGAAGAAAAGTCAGGGATTAACCAAAGTCATTAAATTAATCCTCCGGGCATTACGAATATCTTTCCCAAATTTTAAAGCAATCTCTTCTAACGATGATCAAGAAATGACAATAAAAACTCAAATGTCAGCGCTAGGAGATAGGCCAGATGGACCAGCTTTCGCTCTTTGACCTCTGACCTCTCGTTCCCCCGATGAGTACTTGAAATGATTTCATTCTACTGATTCATTGATCTTCTTGAGTTGATTTCCATTTCATTCTCCTACTTGCAGAGATGTCAGATGTAGAAGAGGAGTATGAGTGAGTAGAGCACCATCCCTCCGTATTCATTCCACCAAGTTTTCTTTCCTGTGATTGACGGAAATATTTATCTCTCTGTTCATCTTCCTCTTCTCTGCAGGGAGCGTGGTAAGTTTTTATTTTATTTTGTGTGTCTCTCGCAAACACTGAACAACATCAGTAAAGCTTTTTTGTGTGAAGCTGTATTTATTTCTTTGGGTTTTCTTCCTCCCAGATGCTGAAGAGGAGCTGGAGGCCGAGCTAGAGGAGCAGGAGGAGCCCGAAGCGGCAGAGGAGGATGAAGAAGGTAAGGTCAGGGAAACCCAAAGCAGACGCACAATACGAGTGACAGCGAGATCCTCTTTGTGGCAGTGGCAAGTGGGTGGCATCAAACTTGAGAGCCCCACCCCCTACACGGAACCCGCCGGTCCAAACCTAAAATTAGCCTCTGTAATAAGAAGACGGGGGCTCACGTGTCTCAAATAAAATTAAATAAAATAAAATATTTACAGCAGCTGACCTGTCGTACAAATAACAGTTGTTTCTGGGAAAAATTGGCTCCTCCCACCCAGCGTGCCGTTGTGACGCCGACTGATTTACTGGCGATTGCCGCTGCCTGTCACAAAGTTGCCACCCACTTGCCACTGCCACAAGGAGGATCTCGGCCTTACTGCACAATACACCAACCTGTCGATGCAAAAACATGAGCCTGAAAGGGTTGTGCTCTGCTCTCCCATTGGCTGATTCTGGCTATCAGAGCTGCAGGAGTACCACGGTACGGCGCCGTGTACAACCAGCCCCAACACCCCTGAAGGGAGTAATTGTTTAACCCTTAAAACACATAACAAGTATTCATTTGGAGCACACATTAGGGAGAAATAGAACTACTCATAGTCAGTTCACAGAGTGATTGGTACATGTCGAGGTCAGCGGTGACTTCCTGCAAGGGAAAATCCCAGTTATATCCTCAATTAAGGATAGATTATTAACCTTTCTGTACACACGGAAGACTTGTGAGATGATGGAATTATTTTTTCTCATTGCCTTCTGTTTTTCACCTTATCTTTGATTTGTCACTTTGTTTTTCCATCCTTTTCTTTTTTATGTCTCAATCGCCAATAGTCTGAACCTGTCAAGAACGGCTTGGTGGAGGAAGGAACCGAGAGTTTGAAAACAAAAAGGACTTTAATGGTCAAAATGTTAAAAAAGCAAACCGCAGACAGGAACCAGGAACAGAACCCGGGGAACGACATCCAGGGAGGACGTGCAACATCCAGGGTTGAACAATCAACGTTCAGGAATGACGCGAGAAAGGACACATGACACACAGGGCTTAAATACACTGGCAGGTGCAGGTGAAAACAATCACGGGGTGGGGACAGGATAAGGCAGGAAGTGAAGTTAACCCAGGGACACAGGAAACAAACCCACGCCGCGACAGAACCTCGCTCTCTTCCTTCCTCTCGTTTGTCAATGTCTTCATGTTATATTTTGATCGTATTTCATCGCCCCCTCAATCTGTTTTTTCTACCCTTCATCTCTTGTACCTTCTGTCCGGCATCTTTTTCTTCACCCTCCTTGCATCTTTCATTCTGTCTTCATGTGGTGGCTGGTCCCTCAGATCAAGACGCCCAGGAAGAAGGTGAGGAATGGTAGACGTGTGGTTCCTTAAAGGGCTTAAGATCCAACATCGGATTATTAAGAATTGATTTTCTTTGTTTTTCTTTAAATTATTATCTGACTAACTAAATTATCCACGACTTCTCCTTGTGAATAATTAAAATGCTGAACCTTCCACAAATCACTCCCATTAAAATATGTGTCCTTATGAATCAAAAATGACATCGTAAGTGATGGAAATTATTAGTAATCGCTGAAATTATTCAGAAAATGAATAAATAACGAGGCACCACCCTATAAACGGACTAATAACTAAACTATAAATCAAGTCTCATAATGGATATTCACTCATTAAGAGTGAAGGAATTGAAGGTTTGAGTTCGTACACTGATTTGTTTCCAACCAGCATCACAGTACACAAGAAATCACAGAAAACTGCTCCTTAAAGTATAACAGGGTTTATTAAATGATTTCTCACCAACTTCTAGATTTTAAAATGGTCCTTCAACAAGTTTCGGGGAAACTTTTTCATTCACTCTTAATAATCAATATTTTTCCTTTTCTTTCTCTCTTTCATCAACAGAAGAACGCCCCAAACCCAAGTATGTTCACATCCTCCGTCTGCAGTGGTTCTTTTTCTCCAAAAACTCCAACCCCCCACAAACTTCTATCTCTATTTTCTCCTTTTCCCTCAGACCCATGGTGCCTCAACACGTCGCTCCAAAGATTCCTGAGGGAGACCGGGTGGACTTTGATGTAAGTTGTGGAAAAGGAGATGAGACCTGATCTCTTTCCTTCCCTCCCTCCCTTCATAACTCAGAGAGGAACCACGGCTGTCGTTGCTGTAGTTTGAGAAAAGTCATGACCTCAGGAAAAACAGGTGATCAGCTTCTGTTTGGCAGAGAGAGAACTCAAACTGCAGCCAGTTGACAACTTCTTTGTGTTTAAGGCAGTGTTGGAAACATTTTACAACCAGTTGTAGAGTCCTTTAAGAGGCAGGGTTCAATATAAAAAACAACAGGTTTCATGCTCATGCTGAGATGAAAGAAAGTCTGTGATTGTTTGCTCCAGTGGGCCTCTGGAATCCAGTTAAAAAGAAAGTCTGTGATTGTTTGCTCCAGTGGGCCTCTGGCATCCAGTTAAAAAGAAAGTATTTTTTTCAGAGGAGTGTTGCCTAATTGTTCCCATCTGCAGAACCTGAGTCACCTTATGCTGCTGTCATGGAGGACAGCATGAAATGTTCTTTTTGCTCTGAGACTGAGGCACTGGCTGTGAAGTTTTTTTTTTGGATTATCCAACAGCGCTGCCGTGCTGTTGGATAATCCACATATTTTGTTTTTTTCTTACGTTGTTATGTTCTGAGAGTGGTGACAGAGAACGTAGTATTAGAACTTTGATATTCTCACATATTAAACTGCTACATTTATAACGTTTCTTACCTGTGTTGTTTAAGAACATTTATTGCAGTTGGTTTTCTACACTTTTTGTTTCTTATTTCTAAGCCCTCTGAGGCAAATGTGTAATTTGCGATTTTGGGCTTTACAAAACAAAATGAATTGAATTGAGTCCAGAAAGTCTCCAAACCATTCTTGATTCAGCTGTCATCAGAGTCCTCACATCATCCACAGAGTTTGATGCCACGCTGAGTGTTATAGAGGTGCTCGCATTCAAGCGTCCCGTTCTCCCACCAGGACATCCACAGAAAGCGCATGGAGAAGGACTTACTGGAGCTGCACACTCTGATCGACGTCCACTTTGACCAGAGGAAGAAGGACGAGGAAGAGCTCATCAGCCTCAAGGATCGGATTGTAAGTTTACTTAAGGGCCCTTTCACAACCTCCTTGTTTGTTTGAGTCTTCTTACTTGTGCTGTACTCTTAACAAGCGTGTAATACTTCTCTAGTGTTTTACTTGGGTAGGATTTTAAATTCAGGACCGTTACTTGTGGTATTTTTACTTCACTGTGTTGGATTTGAACACATCTTCCACCACTGCCACATAGCATGTCAGGGATGGATGACGATTAATATGATTGAATTTATTTATTACCTCTGAATGAGTTAAGACATTCTTTGACAAGATTTCATTTAGTTTTTATTCAAATGCTGCTTCACGTTTAATACATTTAAGAAAAATATTTGATGGGTTCTTCGCTTCACCCTCCATCAGGAGCGCCGTCGTTCAGAGAGAGCTGAGATCCAGAGGGTTAGAACGGAGAAGGAGAAGGACCGACAGAACAGGATTGCGGTAGCAACACACACACACACACACACACACACACACACACACACACACACACACACACACACGTTACACCCTTTTATGTGTTGTCACACAACGTATTTACTGTCACACAACTATACAACTTACATACATCCTTCTTCATCCGTCAGGAGGAACGTCACAGAAAAGAGGAGGAGGAGGCCAAGAAGAAGGCCGAAGATGACCTCAAGAAGAAGAAAGTGCTGACTGGCATTGGAGCAAACTTTGGAGGCTTCCTGGCCAAGGTGTGCAGGCCCTCCCAGTGGAGCTCATGATAACAACCACGATGATGATGATGATCGGCCATGTGCTTTTTCTGTCCCAGGCAGAGACGAGGAAGGGCAAGCGTCTGACGGGCAGAGAGGTCAAGAGGAAGACTCTGAACGAGAGACGGAAGCCGCTGTGCATCGACAACCTGAGGGAGGAATCTCTCAAGTGAGTCTCCCCAAACCTGCACTAAATCAGAAGTCGGGCTGGGCGGTACGGCCGAAAATTCATATCACGGTATTTAGAAAGATTCTGACGGTACTGACGGTGGCTTTCAAGTAAACACCGCTCCGCTCTTGGGCTCAAGTTGTGTGTTGTCTCTGGTCTCTCGTCGTTCCTCCTGTATCGCTCTTTCCCGCATTTTCATGTAGCAACAGAGTTATTTCTTGTTGCGAGCAGCACCCAGCATGCAGTTCGGTGGGGTCATTTTTATAAATGTACAATTATTAGTGCTACAAATTGTTTAAGATGTTGTGTCGTGGTGTTTTACCCTGTTAAGGAGTTTTTGTTGTGGGTTATTCATTGTTGTTATAAAGTTATAACCACGACTCAATCAAAGCACATAAGACAAGTAGCTAATTCTTCATGACGTATAAAAATGAATTCTGCGGCCTGACGAAGAGCATCGCCAGTTGTTACGGCAAAACGCGGTTCGGTACGTGAGAAATTCATGCCGTACGGATCCTAAACGTGGCCTTGTGGGTCCCACAGGGAGAAGGCCCAGGAGATGTGGAACTGCATCCACCAGCTGGAGTCTGAGAAGTTTGAGTTCATTGAGTACATGAAGCACCAGAAATACGAGGTAACTGTTTAGCTGAGTAACTTTGATATTTTTCCACCTGGACCCCATTTCCTCATGTTTTTTTGTGTAAAAGTGACACATTTTGAGCAACTGATTGCAACTCCTCACCGTGTTGTAAGTCCGTTCAAAGTGTCCCCACACCTTTGTACTAAGACAAATGGTTTCTTAATCTTTCGCTTCATCAGTTTGTTATTGTTTGTGGGGAAATAGTTAGGAAATCTGGCGTTGCATTCAAAAATCAGTTAAATACTCAGCCCTATTGTTGATTATCTGCACCGGTACTCCTCCCTCCAACTCTGTGATGTTTCCTTTGAGACCCCCAGGCAGCAGCGCACATTACACAATAACAAACACACTGACAGGATAATGGCGAAACATTCCATTTCCCTCTGCAGCGTTTTTTGCAAAAAGCCCACTTAGACAGAAATCATGATGAATTAGAGTTGAAAAATACCAAAGTTACCCTTTAAATCCCATTCTGAGCTCCTAAAGAACTGCAGAGTGTGAAAACGTGAATTTGTTTGGACAACAATATTGCATGCATTTTCCAGAAGGGATTCATTAATCATGAAAATAATCACAATGATTTGAATTCCTCCTTTCAGATCATCGTGCTGCTGAACAGAATCCAACACGCTCAGAAATTGTGAGTACTTACTTTTGTAAAAATAACAACACAACACATCATCCCTTCCTACGTCCTACATCCTCGTCGCATCCTTTCTTACTTACCTCCTTCTCTCTCCCTCTCACAGTAAAAAGATCCACGGCAAAGGGAAAGTGGGCGGCCGCTGGAAGTAAAATGGACTTGAAAGAGAAAACAAGAACTGAAAGCAGTGTAGGAATCACGCATCCTGCCACTCTGTGGGCCTTTCCTGTGTGTGTGAGAGAGATATTTGATGTTTCTTGATGAATAAAGCGACATGCACTCAATTTGGAGTTGTTGTGTGGATCACAACCCCATAATTGGTCTGTTTCTTATCTGCAGTGCAGCCAGTTTTATGGTTAAATGCGTTCTTTGACAGAACATGTAAAAAATAAAACAGCGGGGTTTTCGGGGGCATGAAGTGAAAGAGAGTCTGTTTTTAGGACAATGCCTGGAAATCTGGAGTGTGGCCAAATGGTTTCCACAGCTCATTCCAATCAATCAATTGTTCATCAATTGTTATGTTCTGACAGTCATGACTAGTATTAGAGCTTTGATATTCTCACATATGGTACATTTATAACTTTTTCTTTTTCAAGAACATAAATAAATACCGTCTCACATTACGGTGGCGTTTATCGGCAGTGTGATGAGGTGGACCTATAACCACCATAGCATGTTTAAAGTGCCTTATCACACCACCATAGCATGTTTAAAGTGTCTTATCACACCATAGCATGATAAAGTAAATGGTCTGTACTTGTTATAGCGCTTTTCTAGTCTTCCGACCATTAAAAGCTCTTTAACACTACATGACATCATTCACACCCATTCATACACTGATGACAGGAGAACCACACGCAGTAACACCTGCCCATCAGTAACTACCATCCGCACACTGTAGTCGCAGCTACAGGAGCAATGTTGGGTTAAGTGTCTTGCCCAAGGACACATTGACATGCAGGTTAGCAGAGCCTGGGATCAAACCCACAACCCTCTGATTGGAGGACGACCGTGCTCCCCACTCACCCACAGTCGCCTTATCACACCACCACAGCATGTTTAAAGTGCCTTATCACACCACCACAGCATTTTTAAAGTGCCTTATCACACCACCACAGCATGTTTAAAGTGCCTTATCACACCACCACAGGATGTTTAAAGTGCCTTATCACACCACCACAGCATGTTTAAAGTGCCTTAGTAAGGTGACTTTTAGAGCTGTGACATGTTTTGAATATTAAAAAAAATAATGTGATACTTACTACATCTAGGGCGGGGCTAGCCATAGTCCAATGAATCTCAGGAGACTGTTGAAACATAAAGCGCTCCCTCTGGTGGATGAACACTGTCATTGTATCCCGATGGGACTGAAAACCCATCAACTGTGTAACTTCCTGCATACCAACTCCCCTTGGTTTAAACGGACCACTCTGCTGAATAAAGCGCTTCAATAACAGTAAACATGGGTAGCAATGGATCACCAATCAAACCACCGCTAACACTGGTTTGGGCCAGAAATCAGTCAGTCAGTCGTCTTCTACACTGCGTACTCTTTAATAATATAATGTTGCTGTTGGGTGTGTTATCTTTTTTTTTAGTTTAATTGGAGTGCACAGATTGTTTTTCTTCTGTGGTAATGAAGTGTCCCTCCTCTCTTTTATTCCTGCCCCACATGCTTGGCTGCCTGGAACGAGGACAACACACACGCACACACACACACACACGTGTGAATCATGAAGTCCCCACTTTGTACAGAACAAAACCCTGCACATTGGAAATTGGGTCACTACTACAATACTGGATGGTTATGATCACAATCACAGGCCGGATGTGTCATTCATATTACATTACAAGTCATTTAAAGCGACTTACATTACACTTTAAATCCGTGGCTTTTCTTTACATTTTGTCCAGGGAGCAATTAGGGGTTAGGTGAGACATGGGGCAGCCAGGACGCTTCAGACATGGGGCAGCAAGGACTCGAACCACCAACCTTGCGGTTCCCAGCGCACCTGCTCTACCCCCTGCGCCACGACGACGGTTCGCATCAATTTTGGTTTCCCTGAAAATGACACACTTTCTGGTGTGTGTGTGTGTGTGTGTGTGTGTGTGTGTATTTGAGAGAGTGTGTAAATCCGTCAGACCATCTGGAAAAGCTTTATTTGTCTCAAACTGAAAGTGAAAACAGCATTCCAGATTATTTCATGATATACAATAAAACTCACTCACACTCACATAAACAAACTGCATGTGCAATCCTCAGATACTCCAAGCAGGATCTCCACTCAATCCCACATGCGTTCACAATCAGTAAAAACACGTGACTGTGACGTGACCTTTCAGAGGAATGATCCAGTTTGGATGGTTTGCAGCTGGTTCTCATGGTACAGACGGGGGAAACATGACTTAAAGAAGCACATACACTGTTACACACACGGCTCTGCAGCCAGTTTAAACGTACTCCAAGTGAAAGAATGTCTGGGTTTTTTATTTTTGAAATTGTTTTTGAAAATACTATAGCTTACATATGATGGAAATAAACAAGGCATTCATTACATTAAAGAAGGTGTGGCTCTTCAAAATAAAGGTTATAAATAAAACAAAGATTATTAATTATTATGATTATTATTAACAGGGCATCCTTTTCATACATGAGGTTCAGAGAACTCTCCTCAACAGAAAGCCTGAGACACGCTGAGTTTGACTGATGAAGACATTCACCAGGCAAGAAAGTAAGACAATCGAACTGCATTATGGGAGGTGTAGTGTCCAGAGGTGTTAGTCAGGATGTCTTCCTTCAATTTTGACTTCTTTTTTTTTCTCTGTCTTATGCAAGTTTTCCAACTTTATGAAATGCAAAGTTAAATTACTGGAGTACCCTTTAAATACAGTCATTTAGTAAGTAGTATAGTAGTAGTCAATGAGGGTACATTTTTTTTCATGAAATGAGCCGATACACAAACTCCATTTGAGCGTGTTGCAAGTACATATTATGTGAGCATTTCTTTAGTATTAAATCAACCTTTTGATAAAGAAATGTAAAGCGCACAAGAAGTCAAATAAAGAGATCCCTGAATGAAATAAGATCAAAAGAACATTTAAGATTACGATTCCAGTCAGAGGTAATTTCATAGAACATGCAGGGTTAGGATTGAAAAGGAAGGTTTCCCCTCACAGGCAGGTGACGCTGTATACGTGTGTGTGTGTGTGTGTGTGTGGTGGAGGGGGGGAGGGGGTATTTAGCGGATGGGGGCCTTCAGAGCAGCATCCACCTCCTCCTCCGGCTGCAGCGTGTGCCACTGGGCCACTGGGCGCCGCGGGTTGGCCAGCATGTCGGACCAGTGGCGCAGCCCGACGCCCGAGGCGCCGTAGCCCATCCAGCACTTGCCGATGGCGTCGTTGCTGCCCAGCTTGTCGTAGTCGTACACGGTGATCACCACCTGGAGTTTCTGTGGAGAAAGCGGAGGAGCGCGTCGGGCCAAGTGCTTCTGTGTATTTCGAGTCAGGCCGACAGGTGAAGTTTCACCAACCTGGATCTGGGAAAAGGGGATCTCGAAGCTGAAGCTCTCGTTGAAGTAAGGATTCAGAGTGTTCTGTTTGACTGACGTCTTCTTCTTCTTCAGTCGCTTGCCGTTGTGCTGCAGCACCACCTTCACAAAGGGATCTGAGAGAGAAAACGCGTCGTCAAGCCAGCGGACCAGAAGAGCCGCCGGGAAAACCCTGACTACCATCCTTTACCTGACAGTCCTCCAACATCCATCTTCTTCAGGTTCTTGGCTTCCATGATGTTGATGGTCAGCTTTCCGGCCGTGGGGACGTAGCGCAGGGAAATGCAGATGTCTCCCAGCTTCTCTTGCTGTCGGGGACACAACGTTCAGTGTGCATGGTGGCAATGACGGCTAATTCGTCATGTTGTGTTTTTTATGTGGTTGCCCCGAACAAATCACGTACCTCCTCTTTCTCTCCTCCAACCAGATCCTTCCATTCTTGTATTGGCTGGGCGAGGTCTATACTGTTCATGGGGATCTTGATCTCGCCGATGACGTCGTGTTTACCGAAACGATCAAAGTCAAACACCTGCAGCACCAAAGTCTGACCGCCCAACTCGCTGTAGGGTATCTAAAGAGGGCAGAGAAAGAAAAGGCCAACGCTACGGTGCTCTGTACGCTTCGCAGCTCATGTTGGATTTTGTAAATAGCGTTTTCTCTCTCTCTCCGGTGTCGACGCACAGACCTTAAAGCTGAAGGTCTCATTGAAGACGGGACAGAGGTTCTTTCGCTGGACTTTGGTCTCAAACTTCTTCTTCTTGTCCGGCAGCATGTAGACTTTGACGTAGGGGTCTGACGTCCCGCCGAGGTCCATGGCGGCGAGGTCCTGAGCCTGGAGGATGCCGACTATCAGCTGGAGAAGGAGGTGGAAATAAATCACGCGTGAGCCATTTCTTAGGTGGAGCTTTGCTTTGGTTGGGTATTGAGAGGTTGTAGATGGGCGCGTGAGCGGTTGTGTACGCGTGTACCTGGTTGTCATTGAAGTTATAGTCCAGGGAGTACTCCAGTTTGCCAAAGTTCTCCTTCTCCTCGTCTTCCTTTCCGTCCTCTCCCTCCTGGGAAACACGCGGCGTGGTTAGCGGTTAAAAGACAAAGTTATCAAGCCAACACATCTGGTACGCTGCTGTCTCCGCGGAGCACACAAATCCAGCTCAAGATGATCAACGCTGACTGACAGGGAAAAAGCTTTACATGTTTTGCAGAGGCCTTTGTCCTTAAACATACCCTGTGGAGCTTTGCCACTATATGAAGCAATGTTTGCATGAGTGAGCCCCAATTAGTTGGAAGCGAGTTCAGTGTTTAGGTGAGTAACATTAAATATGAACATGTCTTTGGTTTGTTAACAAGAAAACCACACAGGGCATCTTTAAAGTTCCACTGTAGTTTTCCCCAGTGCCCTTTGAGGATCATACTCACGGTTGTCACGAACAAGCATCAGGCGTAGAAGGATAGATAAAAAGATCCTTTTAGTTTTGCAACATGTAAAATGTACCGTTTTCTATGTCGACGCCTGTTACTAGTGTCGACCTGGATAAAAGCCCAGCAGCTGTGGAGGGTGTAGCTCCTACTGCTGCTAACATCTGCCGGCCCGCGGGGTCGGTCAGCCACTGTGCTTCCTCTGATACACGTGTCCCCTGTTGCATCCTTTGACGATATTTAATCCCCTTTCTTCTGGTTAGCTTAGCATTAGCTAATGGGAGTAAAAGAAACCCCTCTCATTTTAATCTCTGCAGGAAAGAGAATAAGTATATAACCCACGTTAAAGTGTACCTCTAAAACAAACAATGGGAACCCCGGTCCTTGTACCCACAATAGTTTTCAGTTAAATACAATTAGGTACAACTCACAACTGTTTGAATATTAAACCAGCCGAAATACTCAAACCCAGTTACCTCTGCTTACTGTGTAGAAGTATTATTAAGTATTACTATTTCACAAAACTGCTCTGCAAGTGCATTGTCAGCAGAATTACCATGTGACACCCCAGGACCACCCAACACAGGACCCCTGTGGGCCCTTTCTCACCTTCTTGTCCTCTCCCTCCTCTCCATCCTTGTCCTTCTTCCTGCGCCCTCGCCCTCCTTTCCTCTCGCGGACCTTCTTGGGCTTCTTCCCCTTGTTGCAGCACTTCCTATAGATGCAGAATCCCATGCTGGCGACAAGGGCGAGGACCACGAACACAATGGCGCCCACAGCCCACATGGGCACTGCAGAAAGGAGGCACAGGACATGTGATGCAGACTCATCGGATGTAAAAAAAAAGGTGACAAGAAGAAGAAGAAGAAGAAGCCCTGAAGAATACGTTGTTCTTTGAAATAGGAACGACTGAATGGGACAAGAAATGCGATGGACTTACTCTTGAGTTTATGATCTTGAAGAGCAGAGTGATGACATGAAGACATGAGAGAGGACAGAACGAAGGAATGAAACACATGAGGATTAAACGGGAGATGACATGATGGTGATGCTGTGGGTGTGTTTCCATGTGCATTACAGTTGTGTGTGTGTGTGTGTGTGTGCTCACTTGGCAAGTGCGTGAGCTCATTGAAGAACTTGCTCTTCATGCTGCTGAACTGGTGGTTGGAGTGGTGCGAGGGCGGCGCCGGCCGCTCCTTCTCCTCCTCCTCGGCCGCCCTGCGGAGCCGACCGCCGGCCTCGCTGACCAGTCGCATCGCCGCTGTGCGAGACGCAAGCAGAGCAGACAACCAACGGTCAGCCTCCAAAGACCCTTTTGAGACATTAAACAAGTCTTCAACAGACCACTCAGCCCCTCTGAGAGCTAAAAACAAATCGGTTCTCTCTTCAGATGTGTCCTTCATTTAAACCTGCTGCTGCTCGACCTTTCACCTGCTTTTAATCTCTTTAATCCTCTCACACTCTCCTTCCTCCCACCATTAAGTCTCTAGCGTCAAGCATCTCACGCAAAGACAACTATCCTCACTTTACAATTCCAGGGGTGAATCAAGTACTCGGATCCTTTGTACTTTAGTCGAGGTACCAACATATTGAACAATGCAACGATCGAATAATGTTAAAATGTTACTGTGGAGCCGATTGAAATTGCTTTATGCAACTTCTGGTAGTTTGATCTGTAACAGTGAACAGCTAATCATACTAATCATACAGCAGGACAACGTGTAGCTAGAGTCGTTTGATGTTATCTCCTGAAACACAGTGAAGCAGAAGTATAATGTAGCTGTATAACGACACGGATAAAGTGAGGAGCCCTCAGAGTGACGCCTGAACACTCAGCCTGTAGCATTCCCACAGCAGCTTGAGTAGAAAGTAATGTTACTTCAGTCAGTGTTAGTAAATCAGCCTGCAGTCGAACTAAGTGAACTTCCATTTGAGCGCTGATGTAGATTTTAGTTGCTTGTAATGTTTTGGCGTAAACCATTTTAAGGACATGATTTTAAATTGCAAGATGCCCCATCCCCAAATAGCCCAAGTTATCTTTTATTTGTGCTAATGCTGATCAACTGAGGGGGAAAAAACATTCATGTCACCCTCCAACATGCAGTCACAGTCGAGTAAAGCTTCTGTAACCTTTAAAGGACTCTACATGTACAGCTTCAACACGTGACGTCATCATTCACACACATGATGAGCTACCATACATCTACATGTACACACATCATACAATCTTCATCCTTTACGTTTGTTCATCCCAAGTTCTTTCCTTCCTTATCTGCTCCTCCTTCTCCTTGCTCCCTGCTTCCTTGCCATGATGGCAGCGTGTCAGGAAAGAGTAAAACCTGAGCTCAGAATAATCCCAATGACTTTGGGACAGCTAGGCCGGTACACACACACACACACACACACACACACACACACACACACACACACACACACACACACACACACACACACACACACACACACGTACCCTGAGGGCATTTCATCTGCTTTCATAGCAGGAAAAGCTAATTTCACCAATCACATTAACTATTACTTTTGTAAATGTGGCACGTCAAAATGACAACATTATCCCAATGGACAATTTGGAAAAACAATAGGAAATTTTCAATGAATTAATTCTATATTATCTATTACTCTTGAATTTGTTCTGTTTCCAAACCCCGCGTGCAGTCTATGCTTGCCTGAGGCACACTGTGACTTTACATCAGGTCCAGGCTTAATTGGGGTATTAAGTGCAACTAGAAAACTGGGTTTGCCTTCTGCCAAACGATCCCTTCCTGTGACCCTGTGGAGAAGCAATGCAGCGAGTAGAAACATCGCATTCTGGCAATAATGACAATCTCTATTGTGAGATTGTCAGTTGCTGACATTTAAACACACATACATGCCCCGCCCACAGCGGACGTCCCTCTGTCACCGCGCAACGACGTAACAAGATAAATTGCCAAAGGTAATCCCAAAATCCCTCGGCTTAAACAAATTAAGGACATTTTGCCTCTCTGCTCCCCCCCTTCTCTCCGTCCACCATCTCCCTTCTGTTTTCCACCTCTGTCTGTTATTCATCCTCCCTCATGACAGCTGGAGTAGATAAAGCCACGCTCAGATGTACACACATCCTATTGCTGTAATGAGATGTGATTTGTGTGGCGAGCCGTGTTGCATTGACCCTGTGCAGCAGCAGAGCTTAAGGGAGGAGACCTCAGTGTGCAAAGAAACAATGATGATGATAATAATAATAATAATAACGATACGGATCTACAGATATAGATATAGGGATAAATCACTCTGCTAATTTATCATATGACGGTCATGTTTTAACTGACATAGTTAGATTGTTTTTTCTGACCACATGAAACATTGATCTTTTTTCCTTTTCATGACCAAACTATTCACCTTTTTCCACCAACAACTGTCTGATCGTAGAATCCGCTAAAACAGTTTATGAATGAAACGCACACATGAGATACATTTACACAATTAAATGCAGTTAAAAGAATGAAGATAGCCAGTGGAACCTCCAGTAAATGACAGCGACACACTCAATAAGATCAGCCTCAACACATTCGATACAACCTGTGTGTCATTCTGCTGCAGGGGCCCTGATTGTTGCACAATGACATTTTAGCACTAATTCAGAACAGCCCAAAATCCACATGATTCACTGAAACGGTTATCTGGGTCACGGAAGATTTAGGCCGAGCTGCCGCCAAATTCTTAACTTCAGTGAGTCAGAAACCTGGTCAGGTTTACTGAGTGAGACTAGTGTCAGGATGTGGAAATCACGCTGATATGTGAAAAATCCCAACGATTTCTGCCTCCTGGTTTATAAATCTGGGAAACCAACTGTTTCCTGAAATTTAGTTGGTGAGCAAACACTGGTTTGAGTTATGGGTCCTGAAAGGCAAAAGTCAGGTATGTACAGTGATTAACTACTAATGTTGTGGACGAACGTGTCTGTAGAAAGCCACGGACACGTGGTTGGTTCCGAATCAACATCCTGTAGGAAAGAACAACGTCACTCACATCGAACAAAGGCCTGACCGCGAACAATGAAGCCTGAGTCATCGTGTGGGAGAACGAGCCAACGCTGGCATTGTAGGTTTGATTATAAGCTTTCAGCGACATCTCGCTGACTTCATACACCAAAATGTCCTTCCTGAAGGAGCGAGACAGCACGAGGCCCTCGTGTTCTCTGTGCTTCTGTCGCTCTGCTGGTGGGCGTCCTCGTGAGCCCACACTGAAATATCTCCATCTCTTTTTCTTGGTTTTCAGGGTCCCCTGAGGATCTGTGGACGCTGGTGATTCTCACGTTCCCGTAGAGGTGGAAATGTTTTTCACGTCCAAGGTTGGAGACCACTTCAAATCGCCATTAAAAAATGACCGATAACAAAAGCTGCCAACTGAATGTAGCGGGTGGAAGTATAAAGCAAAGTAACCGAAGTATTAGTACATAATTAATGTGCTTAAAGAGGCACACGTAGTTACTTTCTACCACTGATTCAAATGAAAGACTTGGAGGGGAACAGCCATAGTAAAGTCAAGGCCCTGTTAGGCGTCGCACACTGCAGGCATTCACATATTCACACACATGAGGGCAACGTTGGCAATTGTTGACAACTAAATCTCAAAGCCAAACATTATATTATTAGAAGTGTGACTGAGAGAAGAACCAATACAGCTCATTTGCTCCTCACATCAGGTCAAAGAAACAGTTTCACACATTTTGAGAGATCACTTTCTTTTTTTTTGCTTTCTTCATTCAAACTGACTCATTTCATTTGAGACATACTTAATTGGCATGAGTTGAATTCAGTGGTTGTTATTGGAGACCTACCTCCATTGACGACATCATCCTTGACATTGACATAAGGATTGGTGTATCTCTGAATAAATACACTCTTTCTAGGTTGCGTTTGTCTATTTGTATTAAATGTCATCTTTGGTTATTTGACGAAGCTTTGTAGAGCTTCTGAAACTGTCCTAAAATCTGATCTGGCAGCACCGCGAGAGAGAGGTATCCATATTTATATCTCATTCACGGGTGAATAAGCATATTTCCTGAAATGAAAACCGTTTTCCCCCGAGGCTCTTAGTTGTTAGTCTGAGATCTGAAGCGTTGTACAAAAAGACAAAAACGTCAGAAACACACAAAACTTCAAGGCGATAGAGTGAAAGGTAATAACAGACACCGCGTCACATTGTGTGATTGTGCTGTGCGGTAAACATCAGAGTGTGTGTGAGCGCACGTGAACACAGAGCCTGTAAATAGAATTGCATTAGCCTGCCTTAATCCACTTCAACTAATCTCTGGCTGGTTTGGAAAACATCGTCCACTATGCGGGAAATCAAATGTTCCTCTCATGCTGCAATCTTTCAATCAGATATTACATCAATATTACCAATAAAGTGTTACATCCAATATATTATAATTAACCCTGTGCTCCCTGGGAGCATTGCAGCTTCTTAACGGATTTACAGCAGGACCGAAATACACCAGAGAGGAAAAGTAAATGGAATGACTCCTTAATGGATCTAATTAAATATATCAATACATATTTCATCATCAAGTCCTTTTCAAGAGATTTGTTCCCCAGCTTAGTAAATCCAATGGCTTGCTTTTCCCTTTTCCATTCATTATGAATTTAATAACTTAATGCTTTTGACATTTTGTTTGAAATAATATTTTTTACAAAAAAATAATTTAGGTATTCTAACAAATTAACTAATAATATAATAAAAAATGTAAACAGGATGCAACTCACCTTATTTAGTGCCGGTCCCTCTAAGTTCTTTTGGCTTTTATGTTATTTGACCTCATCCACATACTACTCTTGATAAATCCACCACCACTGACTGATGAGGCGTGTTGCACAGAACTCCCTCTCTCCCTCCCCTCCCCCGTCTGTGTTAATCTCCCTCACTCACTGCCAACTACTTACCTACACTGCAGAAAAGATCCCCAAGAACCACTTCATCTAAAACTGTGCCTTTTAAATCTTTAGCATCTTGCACAATCACATGGAACGCTTTACAATGATCAGGTACAACTTCAACCAGTGTGCCACTCCGTCTCAGGAGGGAATCAGGCTCAGATCAGACAGATCAGAGACGCTTGCCATGTGGAATCATTTTGTCCCACTTGCAGGTTCAGCTCAGAAGCTACTTTCTAGTTCACATGTTTCAATGTCGTCCCTACGACTCTTAATAGGCTTAAACGGTGAATTGATACAAAATACTTCATCGAATTATGAGAAGGGATGAAATCAGACATGAGAACGACTCAAATCGTGGAATATCTGAAAATAGGCAGAAAATAAGAGACCATGAGCCCAAATCCTCAGACGTTGGAGCCTGAAGAAGGTTTTAGTACTTAGAAGTAGAGTTAAGCTGCCCAGCCGGCTTCAGCACCCTGGACAGTGGCGGCTAAATTAACCCCCCGGATACATATAGTTAAATGAGATCTATACATGTATAGATGTAGATCTATACATACATAGATCTATATCTATACACGCGTATATATCTATTGTTCATTCACCCGTCTGAGAGATTCACTCTGCTGTTATCTGACCAGTAATTAGGTAGATTTTTGGGGTACTTGTACTTTTGTGTGATTTTACTCATGTAATCTACTTCGCCTCTTTTAAAATCAAGTTGCTATTGAGTGTGCTCACAATTTCAAATAATATTCAAACCGCCAGATTTTTTTTTTTTTTCAATGCAAACCCTTCTTGGCTGTCAGATGGCGCCCGCGCCAATTATTCTAGGACGTAATATAAGCAAAGGCCAACTCGCTGCTGCAGCAGGCAAATGTTTCTGCAGGTGAAATACACCTGAGTGGACTGAGAATTTGGGAAGTAGAAGAAAGTTCTGAAAAGAAAGAATGATGATCATGATTACGGCCAAGTGTTTAAAAAAGACATGAAGGACATTAACTTTCTTCTCCATTGTTACTATGGTCGATCTCCCACAGTCCATCCACTATCCCACAGGTCGAGACCCCCTGGTGGCCTGGCGAACTTCCGTTGTGTTCTGAGTGAACTTGCAGCGTTTCTCTCTTGCATGTGTTTTGAAGTTTGCGTCCCGTGTGCTCCGGTTGTTTTTGTGATTGTCGTATTTTTCTCTTGCAGCGTTTTACTGTTGGATTTGTTTTGCCGTTTGCACGTGCCGGCCACCATAAAATTGCCTGAAATTTTTCTATATTGTTCGTCTGACAAATGTGCTTTGAATTTTAATTTCATATATCGAATGTCTGCTATTGACGATGCAATAAAACATCCATCGGCTAAAAAGTAATTTGTACTCAGTTTTTGTACTTAAGTACTTGTAATTTAAGCATTGTAACAGTACTTGTACAATTTTTCAGTACTCTTTCCACCTCTGATTATTTCTTCCTGGAAATACCCAAAACATCCAATGTGACCACATTGATCTGTTGCTATTCCAGCCGTACATGGTCTCCTCGTACCAAGGAATGTCCACAATGCTTTGTAATACAATCAATAAACAACCACACAATGAGCCACCACGAAAATACTTTATTTGTGAAATTCATATTCATGAAATGTGTTTTTTCTTTACATCTTTGATGGCATTTTGACCAGTACTGCCAGGTCATGCAAGGTAGAACCCCTCGACTCGACTCAACTCTCCCTCGTCCTGCATATGGCAGACGTTTGATTTCTGCGTACTCATGCTGCACACATTTGGTGGCAAGATGCTCCGCTTTGATTCGACCCCAGTGCAGCAGTTTTCACCCTGTCGACCGTAGCTTTTATAACAAAAGAAGCTTTTACCGGAATGTCCCGGTCGTTCTTCTGGTTGTACAGCAGCATCGGAGGACACACAGAGCCGCCTCTTCTCTGCTTGACACGGAGGATGATGCAAAATAGTCTCTCTGCAAAGAATTCTGCGGTCTTCTCCATTCACTGTACATGTCCCGAGGCGAGGACCCACTCAAGGTCGCCCCGCAGAGTTCCCTGAGAAGAAGTCTTCCTTTCATCGTCACAGGGGCCAGGAACCCTGACGGGTCAAACGGGCTGTTGATCCCTGAAGGCACGCCAGGGTTCTGAATCTATTGAACACGCAATGTGAATCGTGGGTGTTCCAGAGGAATCTGGAACCACGCTGAACTGGGAACACTGGACGTAATCAGCCCAACGTCAGATTTACACTGAAGTGTCTTTCTTTGAATGGCACTGCGTGACCAACATGCTTCCCGTCGGTCAGTCCAAAGGTCGCTGCAAATGGAGGTCGTCAATTAACGGACATTTAGTCTGTCCTTTACATTTGTTTCATTTACATCCTTGCTGTAATGGAGGAGCGCCCCCAAGAGGCCGTGATGGAGGAACGGCCCTGCTGGAGTTGGAGGAAACCATCTTCCTCTTCTTTCCCCTGGTGGTTCTACAGCGTATTCATCAGAAGATGCTTGCAGCTCTCACATCTTCTTCCTCGTCCAGCAAGCGCCAAAGAGAAAGAAGTCGCCGGTGAGCGTGGTCTCCGTTGCTCGGGCGAAGACCCTGGTGGCTATTTATCTTAGTCTCGGTTGTTGCCAAGTTAGTCAATAAACACGTTCTAGTGTTCTACAGACTATACTTTCTCATCATTTCTTTAGGACCTTTCAAATATACTATGACCAATTTTGACATAACATGCGATGCAATTTTTTTTTAACTCTATGCTTTCTACATTTTACTTTAACATAATATACACTACATATAGCATATTACATAAGCCTGCTTATGTAAATAACTTTGGCCTCATTAGCAAAACAAAAAACAACTTTGTTTTTAATGGTCAGTTCGGTGTGTTGGTGTTCTGTAGGAAGTCTTTCTCCCACATGATCGCGAGGCGTCAAACTAATCCTTTTGGTTACGCCATCATGACAATGGAAGTTTCTGCTTTTCATGAATGTTTTATTCAGAACTGTTAAACAGTCCTGACGTTTACTTTGAATGTATTTGCTCAGAAAACACAAGTCACTATTTCTTGTCTTAAGATCCCATTTATTTGTAGTGCAAAAGTAGAACAGACATGCTACAGATTTCCAACTTGCCTCAGATCCCTGTGAGAAGACGACTATGATCCACGAGACCACTGCATGACACAATCAAACTGCCTAAAAGTTAACCCCCTCAAGCCATGCAAATGTGCAGCAAAGAAAGTGACGCAACACCATAAATATCAACTAACAATGGAACTTCAGTAAAGAACAGAACAATGTATGAACACAACAGGTCTCACAACAGGTCTCTGGTCGTCATAGCAACCACGCACAGGGACAAAGTACAAGTCACTCAACAGTAGCGCTGATCGGGGACGGAATCGAAGGACTACGTCCATTGAAAAGGGAAACGAACCATTAGAGATCAGAGTCCGACGTAGTGTTGATAAATGGTCTGTCACACACACAGCCGGAGATATTGTGTTCACAAAACCATTCCAGCTTATTTGCTTCCAGTTCAGTTACAATGCAAATGAGGTCCAGCGGTGGTAAACAGTCATATTATTATTATCATCATCATGATCATGGACTCAAACCACATTATGGATTCCAGTGTCTGCAGTAAAGTGTGAGGCCTTAAATTGCCTATATTAAAATGAGTGTAGAGTCAAAAGTAATGAGTGCAATTAGGTCCTTTACACAACTAAAGTTACAAACTTTGGGAAAAGGGGCATAAAAAAATAAATACTTTTGATGAAATCATCAAATTCATATTTAGAGAACTTTGTTCAGAAAAATTATAGGAAGGAGTCGAAGTACCATCATTGTATGAAAACGAGCCTGCAGTGTGACGTGTCGTCCAACTATATTTGAGCCCAGTGAGACGGGGAGAAGAGGGCCGACACGTCGATAGAGGGAGCGTTTAGATTTCTGTGAGGCACTAAACAAACGCACCCTTCTAGGGAAGACTAGACTATAATTATGAATATTAACATTGGAGAAGATTATTCAAGTGGATGCAAAAAAAAAAGGGACACAAGGACTAAAGCCAATAACACACACTGACACTTGTGGCCTTTACATCTTCTCAAGGTCCGTCAAATTAGAAGAAGAAAAAAAAAAGGTCAAACTCCTCAAAACACAGTCATGACAACGAAGTTACAGGAAAATCCAAAACGAATGAACAAAACCAAAGAGGCTCAATGTGATAATCTGTACAATAATCTATATGTGACTTCGTCTTCTTCAGCACCTAAAATACAGTAAAACTCTACTCTCTCGACTACAGCATTTGAACAGTTCATCCTATTGAATAACACGAGAGAAAAAGAAAAACGTTAAAAACAGACCAACAGTCCAAGAGGAAATAAAAGCCAACCTAATAAAAAGGTGAGACGGGCTCTTCATTCATTTCTGTTTTTGTGAGTTAACTCCATCTAAATCAGCAGGAGAGTACCGCTCTCCTCCGGGAAAAAAAGAAGACGCTTTACCATTAAGTGCCAGCAGGGGGCAGCAGCAACATGGAGAATACTCTCTGAGGTGCAGCGATCCAGTTTAAATAGAAGGCATTAAGGCAAAGATACAGGGGGGCTCAGGGGACGAGTAGACCACGGATCACGTGAGGCCTCCCGCCCGGACCCCTCACCTGGGCTGGGGGCGCGTCAGGCCCCTCCTGGCGTTGGTGGACTGCCTCTGCTGGGCGAGGAACGACATGGCCTGGTTAGAGGGAGCGAGCCGCTCGCCGGTCACTTTCTGATGCCACACCATGCCCTGGGGAGGAAGAGGGGAAAGGAGCAGTGAACAGTGTGTGTGTGTGTGTGTGTGTGTGTGTGTGTGTGAAGACGGTGCAGAGGAGTAAGGACTTGTGTTTCGTGCAGTCATAGAAAATCCCTGTTTGGCCGTCCATCTCTTTCAATAATAATAATGTACGAGACATGAAAACGGCAAAGTCCCTGTAGGCGCTCTGCATGTTTTTATGCATTCGTACACTCACTTACCATGTTGTACCATGCAGTAATGATGAGTTTCTCCTCCTGGTCATGCCTGGCTCGGCTCTTCTCGTAGTCGTGCTGTGAACAGATCATCGCGCATTAGTGAGATGCAGTGACCTACTTTGTCTCTTTACGTTGGAGAGATTCATACCTCCAGGTGCTTGATTTTTCTCTCTTTCTCCGTCAGCTGGTTCTGGAGGGCCTGAACGTCTGGAGCCGCAGCCACCGGCTGCAGCTTGGGATCCATGGTTTTAATCACCTGCGCACATTAGGGACATTGCTTTTTGAGATTAGTAGAGCAATCCAGACTCAATGAACGGTTAAAAAAGAAAACGGATTAGGATCCATTCAGTAGAACCGGAGAAATCTCTTTGTATTGCACACATTCTTCCTCCTTCCTCGTTGGCACCTGCATGAACAATTTGGCAAAACAACAGCGAATCCATGAGCCGGCTGTCACATCGCATTACGCTTGATGTGGTAAATAATGTGGTGTGGAGCCGACCGGATGAGCGAGGTCGGGTGACGTCACGTCTTTGGAACTCCACACCTTTTAATTTCCAACTTGGGAGTTTTCACAAAACAAAAACACGGAGAACTTTTCTTTCCACCAAAACCTGTTATTTGATGGGTGACGTCGTCCTGGTGTCACTTAAACTAGTTTTAAAAACAAGTTTTATACGCGGAGGGCGACGTGTTCCCGCTCAAGAGAACTGACCGTTCTCGCTTTCTCCACGTAGCGCTTGTATCGCTCCTCAATCTGCTTCATGTCCTCGTCCTTCTCCCCAAAACTCTCTGGCAGCTCGTCTATCTTCTTTGGCACCTGGGGGGGGGGGGGGGCAGGGACAAAGCACGCGTGAGGAGGAGAAACGGGGGAACACTGAACAGGAAGCACAACTGGACTCACTGCTGCCGTCCACTTTGGGCTCGAGGTCGTCAATGACCTCCCTCTTCTTTTGGAGGTCCGAGTGAGCTTCATGCAGCTTCTCCCTGCAACAAACACAGGAATGTGCAGGTTGACTCGGGGACACGCGAGGGGGAATGATAGAAGAGAAGCAGTACTTACAAATGCTCCTCAAGCTTTTTCTTCAGCAAGGAGGACTTCACGGAAGGAGAGAGGAAAACAAAAACAACATCAAACTCTAAACTAACGCACAAGGCTTTCCTTAAAAAACACACGAGCTGCAAAATCAAGCTGGGAGTTGAATCATGGGCCAGTTGGACGAAGGGCCGTACTTACGATGGCCTGATTTTGGCGGAGTTGATCGCCGTGGGGGGGGCACACAGAGAGAGAGAGAGACAGGCACAGAGGGAGCAGGAGTTAACGCTGACTCAGCACAGCAAACATGGGTTAACTTCCAACACAACATGTACCAGTGGAACAAACAGTGCAGTCTACAGCCAAGCCGCTTCAATATACTCCGTGTGCCGTGCAGCTAGTCCGGTCTTCACATGCACAGTGGGTCTTGATTGCGATTCAACAGGCTTGTTTGAAATGAGGGGGGGTGAGGGGGAGGGGGGGGGTTGGAAGGAGGTCTCCAGACTTACGTCCTCCGCCTTGCTGTCCTGCTCATGGAGCGCCTTCTGCAGCTCCTCGATCTGACAGCGCAGCTCGGAGATCTGCTGATGGTTTAGTCTGGGGAAAGAAACAGGGGACAGTAAGAACTGTCAGGAGCAGAAAGAGAAAATGAAAAGGTCAAAGTTTAACACGCTGAACACTACATCCCACTGCATGGCCTCGTCGATTGGTGAACGCCGGGATGAGGATCAGCACCTCTAAATCTGAGGCCACTGTGCTTAGCAGGAAACCGATGGCTCGGGAATGTGACCCCAAGTGAAGGAGTTCAAGTACCTCGGGGTCTCATTTGCGAGTGAGGGGAAGACGCAGTACGAGTTTGGCCGGAGAATCAAGCAGCGGTGTTGCACAAAAAGAGCTGAGCCGGAAGGCAAAGCTCTCGATCTACCGGTCAATCTTCATTCTTACCCTCACCTCTGTAGAATCTGAAATACGCTTTTTGAAGTAACCAGATTCTGTGAAAAAATTCTCGCGTGAGACCAATAGTCTGGTGACAAAGGTTCTGAAAACAGAATTGTGTCGGTTAGAGGGAACAGGAGAGCTGCTTAGTAGAGTAGATGAAATTTGTACTGTAATTTAATAGTTTTTCATGGCATTATAACCGTGTTACAGACATGGCTGCGCTGCGTCCACAGAGGAAAGGTGCGTACTGTGGGTGGAAGATGTATGCAAAGCATCACGTGGATCTGTGTACTTGAGTTCACCCATTCCCCCAAGTGTCGATTCACTGCTTCTGCCCCACTGAGCATGCTCACTCCTCTCCTCCTGTTGCTGCTTCCCACACCCTGGGCCTGGTGTTGCAAGGATTCACACACACACACACAGACACGCAGTCCACCCACATTCCCTCAGGCACGCACACACAGTCCTCCAGTCCAGCCCACACAGCTCAGTTGAGCACACAGTCCAGAGGGTGAGTTGACATTTAGGCAGACACCACTCCCACTATCAGCTGAACAGCCAGCTTAATGTCCAGGAACACACAGTATGGTGACCTAGACGGGGAAAGGATTGGAACAAAACCTCAAACTATTACTTGAACTGCTTCACCTGTTCTGAGTTTCCAGGGCGTTCTTGCTGCGCTGAGCCTCTTCCAGCTCGGCCTGCACCTCCGCTAGTTTCTGCCTGTAGGTCTCCTCCTGGACACACAACATCTTGTTCTCGCTCGGGAGGCGCACCACCGTCTCCCTGTCCGAGGGAAAGAACATGTGAGGGGGGGGGGGTCGAATACAAAGCGGAGGTCAGATGAAGCAGCTACAGAAGGTATGCAGTAAGGTATGCAGGGTCGGCCGCGCCTTCGTCCGATAACACGTGGGCCAAATGCGAAGCGCTCGTTGCTATTTCGGGGGGAGGGGGGGGGGCGGCGCCCCTTCGACCATTGCTGAATGTATGTAGGGCGCGAGTGAGCTACTGATAGTGACACCAACTTAATGTCTGCTACGGGTTTAGAAAAGAAATCTCATCGGTTACGCTTCAACGCGCGAGCCCCCACACCCAGGAACAGCCCGACAGACATGACATACTTGAGCTCGGTGGGCATGATCTCTGCAGCGAGGTTTCCAACGGTGACACCACTGTCACATAAGCCTCCTGCAGAGAGTGGGGGGGGGGGGGAAGAGAGATTAAGTGTGTGCAAGTAGTTGAACTCGCTTTTCATCAAGTACCCCGATTTAAATATTTTTGTTTTAATCCAAGAATGACAGCAAACTGAAGCCAAAATCCCCCAAATACCACCAAGTAATAACTGATGGGGGACGAGGTGGACCAGCCTTGTTCAGCCAGTTAAAATGGCAGTCTTGTTCCTTTGTAGAGGGCGCCAATAGTGGATATTATTTTAGGGGCTTTAAGACATTCCACAGCAGCACGTTGCTCAGCGTTCGTGCTGGCGCCCCCTGCTGGTCCAGAAGCTTTCTACCCGTTCTTGTAGTCGTTAACGGGGTGTCGTTAAGACTCACCAGATCCACCGAGACCCCTCTGCTGCACCTGTGCACACCGGAGCTCGTCGTTTGTCTCTCGAAGGGTGTCTCTTTCAGAGATCAGACGCTGAGGAACGAAGCACAACGGAACACCTCAGCATAACGTCACACTGGTTTGGAAGTATTGAGCCCGTCGGATCTAAACATCCAAAGACGGTATGAAAACGGCATGCGTGGAATGGAAAACGCCAAACGAAAAGGCAAGCTCAGCTACCGCGTAGTTTAATGGTTGGTGCCAAATAGCCAAAATGACCCTCTTGTATGTATGTGGACTCAATTGGGGGAGTGATCCATGTTTAACTCCCACAAAGAGCGTGGTTCGGTTGCTGGGGGCATTAGGTGTATTCAGAGCAGCAATGACGTGCTCAAAAAAAAACTACCTTTAACTATAATGTCAGTAACTGTGGGGAAGTCAGATTCACATCGGCTCTGGGTTTCTTTTATGTGGCTCACCACACTACCTCGAAGTAGCACACAGTAAAAGTACACTCCCTACGAGTACAGTATGTATTTCTTAATCCCTCCCACGGGTTACCGAGGACATTAATCACTCCTGTCAGTTTGCAGAAGGTGCGAGAGTCGACACAGGACGTGGGAGTCCACTGAAGAATGACATTTGCCTGGCAGCAGCTCCTCCGGCAGGAATGCGCGCGCCCTGTCACAGCAAATGTTGCTCCACGCAGCGCCGCCATCGGCGCAAGTAAGAGCAGCGTCACTGCGTGCGACGTGGTCCGCGGACGGTGAGGGCCTCCGCTCGGACCGGGTGCTCCGACAGACGAACCGCACTGGGCGGAGAGTCTCCTTTCCTTACGACTGAACCTTCGTTTTTCCCGACAAACGTTCCGCAACTCACTTCTTTTTCTTTCTGCAGGGCGTCGTACTTGTCGTAAAGGTTCTCGTACTCAAACTGCCATTTTCTCAGCCTTCACGGCCTGCGCCGAGTGCCTGGTGTGGAGCTCGTGAGCCTGTGCAGGACGGGGGAGGGCACAGCGACAGGCGGGGTGGGAACAGGCTCTCCACACACCTACAGAACCGTCAGGCAGGTACTAGCACCCCCCCCCCCCCTCTTACGGACCCACAGCTTGCCTGTCTCTTGAGGGTGTCCAGTTGACTGCGCACGGCGTTGGCCCTGCGCAGCTCCTCCTCCAGCTCGCAGGTGCGCTGCATGTACACCGTGTTGCGCTCCTCCAGGAGGCGCACCTGCCTGCGCAGGTCTCCCAGGTCCTCCAGCTTCCTCTTGTAGGACTCCACGAGCACCTCCAGCTGGTTTACCCGGTCAGACGAGTGCCTGTGGGGGGAGGGGGGGAGGAGTGCCAAGCTCAGAAATAATAAAATACAATAAAAAGTGAATCAGCGCTTAAGTGCTGGAAAGAAAGACCACTGTGACGCAGGCCGCTGTTGATGCTCGAGCTTGGTATTATCAACACAGATGTCGGAGAGGCGCTGAGCGGACGTCTGCGTGTGGGCAGAGTGGGAGTTGTTTCTGTGAGTGCAAATTGATAATAGATGAACTACTGCTTAAAAAGGAGAAAGCTGGTGTTGTTCTGCATTGGCGAAATCCCTCGAAAAGATCAAATCTAACGATGTGTCAGTTGGTGCCTCACCGCTTTCCTGCGAGTATTCATAACGGTGCGGGATTGACTTGAAAGGGCGCTAGTTTCCCCTTCAGGGATGAAAGCAACAGCTCACGCAGTGCGACGGTGAATCACAAAAGACGCGTTTTTAATAGTTTCCGGACAACAGCAAAGGGCTATTGCCCAGAAGACGAAGCGCAATCAGGTGCTGCTCGTATCTGGGATCAATTACTGCTGGTTTTGATCTTTTCGTGGGGTTTTATTGACGGTAACAACAATGTAGAATCAGAGAACCAGACTTCCTTTAGTGAGACAAGAGATGTATTGGTTGGTTTAAGTTTTTGTTATTCTCAGCCAATATTTACAATATGTTTCCCATTCTCACGTAGGAGGACGTTTTCACACTGTTGACTCACTTAAAAGAATTGCATTTAAGATTTAAACGAGAGAATAATCTATTGTGTATTGTCCAACATTATGTAATCCCAAAAAGGCTGCGTTGGAAAGCTACAAAACAGAGAACACAAACGCCTTCAGCCATGTGATCCGACGCCCACCAAGCGGGGCTTTCTGCACCGCTTTATTCAACGCACCGGGGGGGGGGGGGGGGGGGGGGGGGGGTTTGGAGGAACGCAACGCTCACCTCAGAATGTCCATCTCGTCTTTGAGGGCCTGCGCCTCCTGAGCCAGGCTGGTGAGCTCTTCGTTCCGGAGCTGCAGGTCGATCACCTCGCGCTCCAGGACCTCCGCCCGCACACGCATGTCGTCTCTGCTGGTGTCCAGTCTGAGAGATGGTTTCATTTCATTTATATATGCCAGAGAGTCACCGAGTAAACTGAATGGGCTTATGGCGAGATACTAAATGGGTCATAACGACAAAGTCAAAAGCATTGGATTTGCATTTGCAGATGTTGTTATTATGCGGAAAAAACATCCATTATGGGAAGGTCTTGTGAGTGTTTGCTCATGCATTGTAACCCTAAGCCGTTTTCTATGGCAGCTCCAACACTGTGTGCGTGTGTGTGTGTGTGTGTGTGTGTGTGTGTGTGTGTGTACAGCTCATACCTGTAGTTCTCCTCCTGAAGCTGCTCCATCTGACTCTGCAGCAGCAGCAGCTTCTTGCCAGTGATGGCGGTGGCGGAGGCGTCCAGAGAGTCGCAGCGGCTCAGCTTCTCCTTGAGAGAGCGCGTCTCTGCGTGTAGGGAAGACTTCTCCTCCAGGGCCACCGACAGCTGCCGAGAGAGAGAAAAACACCGCAAATGCGGTGTGTAGGAGAATCCAAAAGATACGGTAACGGACTGCTGGGAGACGAGTGACGGATGTACAACAAAGTGACAGAAGATAAGAGGAGATCGAGGATGCATTAGAAAAGTCCTCCACGCTGTTTCGAAAAGGAAACAACATGGAGAACGGCGACATGAGCAACGGGCGTCTTTCACACGAGCAAGCCGGAGAAAAAACAAAACAAAACATGAACAGGCAGCTAAACCCCCCCCCCCACCCCTCACACTTTTCATGCTCACGGGACCCCTCACACATGCTCTGGTGTCTTTTCACATGCTGAAGGTTTAAGAAGTCAGTCAGCTGCTTCTCAACGGTCTCAGGCACACAGGACTTTGTCAATAGTGACGTTGTTAGCAGCAGCCTCGGGGTCAGAAACCAGATTCTCATGATTAAAAAACAGACAAATATGTAAAGCTGTTTGTTATACTGCTGCTTCGGGAGGGGGGGAGGGGGCATGATGTTTGTGTGCCAGTCGGGGGTTGGACAAGCCGGCATTCCGATACTAAAATAAAAAAGGGGGTGGGAAAACTTACCTGCTGGACACCTTTCCAGTTTGAATACGGCAAAACCCCACAGTGAACTTTAAGGACAGATTGCATGCTTTTAGCTGAGGACCAGTAACAGTAAATAGCTTCCCAAAACAACTCAAATGACTAATCCGTAACGCGTGGGCCTGCGAAGTAAACAAACAGGTGGGCTGAGAGCAGCACAAATTATTGTTGGCTACTGCTCCATCCCCAGGCAACGTGGCACTTTTATCTCTGTGTTATGCAACTATTGACTAAAATGCATCTTTGAAATGCACAAAATTAGTCCGCTTTCAGTCAGCGGTGCACAAACAAGCTGTGGGAACACAAGCAGGAGTACATGGCGGGATAATCAATAAGGGTCAGAGCAACAAACAAGAGAAAGAAAAAGGCTGCAGGCACACACATTCCACAGCACAATGCCACACAGCAGAAGTCGGCCTGAAGGTCAGCTACGTCCAGAGGTTAAATGAGAAAACAACTTCCATATCCAATAAATAGCTCGACTTTTGAGATGACAAACTGAAATCAAATATTAAATTCAAGCACTATTATGCCATCATAACGTTAGAGTTTGGATATTTTAATGCAATTAATTCCCGTTGTTGATACTATTTGATTCTATGTCTTCACGTAGTAGGTTTAACGCCGGGCTCAGCCAGGACAGTGACGTGTCGAGGTCAACGGTCGACCCCCGTAACACAGGACAACCTTCATCATCAAGCCATCTAGTCTTGTGGGTCACTGCGGGTTCAGCGGACTTTGCAGTCCTTTCCAAAAAAAACAGAATACTTCTTTTGGCAAGCGACAGGCTGCACAGCTCCAGCTCCTCAGCAAGGTCACAGACTTCCCTTCACTGCTGTTGTGTGGAGGATTACAGCACGAAATCAGAAGCCCAATTATTGACCGATTTCTTGGCTACGCCAATGTTGGTTTGTGCTGCACCGTGAGCAGATACATTACGCTGCTCTTTATGTGCTGCTTGCTGCCCAAAGGATTCTGTGCCCTGTGGTATTGAAACGCACTTGGCGTAACAAAAAATCCAAAGTCCTCAAACTTGAATGTCTCAGGAAACGTCTGCAGACGGTACCAACCTGGCGTTCCAGGTCTCGACAGCGCTGGCTCAGGTCCAACTTCTCGTCTGCCTCTTCGCTTAGGAAATAATACTTCCTGGACTGCGAACACAGAAGCAACACAACATGAAGACCGAGAGCAGACGACATACCAGAGGGAGTGAACATGAATCGAGGGCGAAACACAAAAGAAGGATGTAAAAGATCTGCGGCGAAAAACTACATGAATCTTGTGTTGCGAGTTTCATCTGGTAGTCAGAGTCCCCGTAGGTCTCTGGGCTTCCTGCTTTCCGACAGAGGCTCCTTTGATAAGAGCTAAAAAAGAAAAGGGTCACAGCCAAAGTCAATGGAAAGCATGGAAAATAATATATATAATAGATTAACTGCATTGGGTTTTCTTTAGAATAATATTTTGTGTGAAAAAAACCTGGAACAGGTCCGTTTTTTTTTTCTTTACTCTCCCCATGCTCAACATTTCCAGCCCCTATGGGTGCAAATTAAAGACTAAACATATGCTTGAAATACCTCAGTGTCGGATTTCTGGGACTCCGTTCAGTCTCATGCTTATCCGGATTTCTTTAAATTGAACCATGACTAAGAGCCGGGATTAATGCAAAGCAGAGAGAAACCGAGCGGATGAGCGAGAGTCACGCTCACCTCCTGAATGGCTGTCATCACGACGTGCTGGACGGATTCCTCAAGTGTCATTATCTGCTGGATTTGCTCTGTGTTTGGGAGAAGACAACAGAGAGCCGTGACGGTGCAGCTGATTGCGGATTAACACAAATACTCTCAGAAGAACAAAACCAGCCCGAGTGAAGCAGTATTTTCAGAGAACCAGTGCTCATCAAGCGCACGTTCAAATAAAACAAAATTATCACTTTTTGTCTTCAAAACGAAAATTGATGATTGAACGGTTGATTTTCTTTAGGTGTGGGAGTGCGGATGGGCGGTATTTCAGCACACGCACACTTTACCTTGTTTCTTCTCACAACTGACAGCACAGCCCAACACGAGCTGCACCAGCTTGCCCAGTTCAGTGACGTCTCCCATCTCTCCTATGAGGTTCAGGTCGGGCAGGTGCTCATCCGACACCTGGTGACCGAGCACCTGCTCGTGGGAGGTAAGGTGGGGTGACAGTTAGGATTAAGTGGGCTTAAAAAGGTGTGTACTCTGCGTGCGATGGTTGGTGAAAGTTAAAGTCGTCTTACATCATGGTAATAGTCCAGCGTACTCTTTAGAATCTTTTTTAAGTTGCTGACCTGAGAGAAAAGAAAAATCGTAGTCACAATCTTGATTCTCATTTTAATGAGGAGAAATAAAGTAAAAATAAAGAAAGCCTAGAGATCTTGGTTATTCTAGGTCGCCGTGAGGTATTCTGTCACATCCTGCTGCTTCACAAATTACCTTGAGGCGCCAGTTGTCCCCGCTCTCCTCCTTGATCCTGCCCAGCCACGTCTCATTAAACCAGGCGGGGTCTCTGTTAACGAGAGCACAAGTCCGACACATCCCTGGATTTCAACATTGACACAAAGGCCACAGGGTGAAAAAGGTGACAACAACAGGCAGAGAGGGAGCGAGCAATTTACAGTTGTTCAGCTGATTTTCTTAAACCTATCATGACATTTTTTTTATTTTATTCTGAACAAAATTTCTAATTAAGCTCATAGATTGCGCCGAAACACATACGGTAATAATAATAATAAAATGAATCCAGTTGCGGTGCAAACTTAACTTTAGGAGTGAAAGGATGAAATGTTGGAGGGGAAATGAAGACGCTGTAGAGATCACAACACCGATTGGCCAGACAGGTCACATCAAAGATGTTTTACTTGCAAAGATCACCTTTCTCCAATCTCAATATGCTGGTCATGCAGTTCACCCAGTTAGGTTGCTATATTATATATATATATATATATATATATATATATAATGCAACCTATGGCAACCAATAAAATATATATAAACACACACACAAGTATTAATGCCCAAACACAAGTGACAAAAGTCAGTGTGTGGACACGGAATATTTATTATTGAGTTGACCAATCTTTTAACAACGCTGACCGCACAAATCTTTAAATGGTTCAAATTTTTCATAGATAACAGCATTGCACAATTTTGTGCAAATCACACAGATAAGCAAATGGGATCAGAAGGCTCGGAGTGGATTTCTACCAGCAACCCCCCCCCTCCCAACGCAGGCCTAAATCTAAATGACTACAAGTACACTAATATATATATATATATATATATATATATAATATTGTATGAGCCCTTACATCCTGTGCAGCACGTGTCCGAGGGCCACTCCACTCGTCAGGTCCTGCTCGCTGTCGCATGACGGCACCTGAAAGGTCTGTATCTGAGAAGGGAGACATCAAGAGTTACTGGGGTGTCCTTATACGATGTTAGTCCAAAACAACACCAGACGAGACACAGGCATTCTGATGGAAGTGTACATGTGGGTTTTTCAGTGTGTATTAATAAAAACTTTAAATGAACATGAACTATTCTTGGCCATTGTTAGAAATGAGTGGGGTATACTTCTTTTGGGCAAAACAAAGTTTTAGAACAGCTTTTATGTTACATAGAAGTGATACAAACAGAAAGGCCCAAATGTCACAAAAACAAAACAGTTTTTTTTTGTCCAACTTGGTCTTTTTTTACACTATTTATATGGGACACTCAGATAGGGATCAGTCCTGCATAGACAGCTTTACATAGTGGTTGGTCTTAGTTCGGTCCCTGCGCTGGTCTCTTCTGGATCAGCACCAAACAGGTCTGGAGAAGTTGGATGAGTGCGTAAGTCCCTCAGCCCGCATCGAGCTCAAAACAGACCGTCAACAGCAAACACTGGCCAGCTAACCTTAGTTAGCTCGGCTGGCTAGCGACTGCTAGCTTCCAAACTCCTTTCTAAGCCCCAGAGCTGCGTGTGCGCTGACAAACCGGCCGGCCTCGTCTCCTCCGGGCGAGCCGAGGCCTTCACGTCACGTAAGGAGACGCTGCATTTGCCCCTACGTGGCCGCCACCTGATGCCACCTGTTAGCGCGGTTAGCCTCGCTAACGCCAAACTCACCCACGTCAGCAGGGAGTCACACAGCTCTGCTTTGTCCACGCTCATCTTGTGGGGCCGGTTGAAGCCCGCGGCAGCTGCGAGACGCGACGGGTTTTTTGGGCTCTGGAGACTTTTTTTTTATCCCCGAAGTTTGTTACTCTCTTCTTCGGCTGTCCGCGTCAGTCATTGTTCAGCCGCGGCCTGTCGCGAGCTCGTGCCCCCCCTCCTCCCCTTCGCGTTTCCAGTTATCCAACGGGGCTTCCGTATTAAAGAGCGTTCCCATGGAAACGGATTATGTTGTTGAGTTGTGGGTCAGCTCGTCTGGTCGTGATATACAATGATAATAACGAAGACAATAATAACCTGCGGTCGTTTTAAGCTCTCTGTGTGTAATCGCGCAGAATCTTGGGATCTCGGACGCCGGTGATCCAATAAAGAAGGTCATGACTTTGATTTAAATTATTCATAATTTAACGTTAGCAACAGACAGAGATAATGGGGTACTGATAAATACGAACAGATATCACAAATGCATGCATATCCCAAAACCAGAATAACAGAAAATGTGAATATAATATCAGGAGTAACATTTTCAAAAAGATACATTTACATACCCCCCTTTAAATCCACCAAAAGAGCACCTTAAAAAACAATATTATCTGATTGGACTAATAATCAATGGCAGCGGCCAGCAGAGAGAGCTACCAGTTAATACCTTCGACAAGACAAAGGGAAAATAATCAAAACGGTGAGAATCACTCTTCTTTTCACCAAAAAACCACAATGGGGCCTTTTTCTCTTCTGCTATTTGTTTAAAGAAGAAACGAACAACATTGAATAGAAGCCAATATCTCTGTCGGAGGCAGTTTTCTTTTGAATGTACTCTTAGTTCCTAAAAACACCACTGGATGGCTCTAGCCGACAAACAGCCATTGGAAACAGCTCTACGCACAACTGGCCGACCCCCAATCTCTCTGCCTGTGACAGATGTTTTGTCTTTAAGTCTTCAGACTTGTTCTCCAAGTAGCCAAAAATGTGATTTGTAGGACAACAGGGAAAATATAAATCAAATCCTTTTTGTTTTATTGGCATTTTTTACCAGTTCACCTCCAGCGTGGGAGTGCACTACTGACCAGGTCACACAAGTTTGTGATGACACACAGCTCGGGAAAGAAAGCGTTAGCAGGTTTCTGTCAAAAGCCTCGCTCGTGTATGAACAACATGATGTAACCCACGTACACGCTTTTCCCTGGTAATCTGCACTGCTCCCTGTACACACGTCTCCTTCCTGCGCTCCTTCTGGCCGTCACACATCAAACTATGGTGACCGATCACACAAAAAAAACTGCCCGCGTGCTTCCTGTTTACTCCGGCGAACCCGACAGTGTGTCCCGAGTCCACTGTGCGGGCTGAACACCTGCATGGGGGACAAAATAGTGGCTGTTTCCGTTCAACACGAGTCCCCATCATTACATCTGGCTGCACCGTATTAGTCTGACCAGAGTTCCTGTTTGTCAAGATGGTTTTCCAGCCGGAGGAATGCTCTTGTTTACCCGCTCGTGCCCTCCGGCCATCGTAGCTCATACCTCAATGACACCAACGCCTCATATATATCCTGTTATTATGTGTTTTTTATGATTCCTTTTCGTTTTCATCTGTTTGGGCATGTCTTCAGTCCCATCGGAGCAGTTGTTTGCTGACAAATGGGTAAATGTGGTGGTGGATGTGTGGGGGGGGGGTCTGCAGTTGAGTAACCCAGGACTGGATGAAGACACCTGGGAGGAAGTGAGGTCCATGGCTTGTGGAGAGGCTCAGCGGCAACGTTAGTCACCCGTGCAGGGATAGGTCAGGGCTGACTAACGCTGGAGTGGCGGGAGGTGTGGTAGGGGCCCTGGTGGCGGCTGACTATTTCTGGCCGGGCTCCTCTTCCTCCACGCTAATTCCTCTTTTCACCCGTTCTCTCTCTCTCTCTCTCCTTATTCCCCAGATGTGTTTCCTTCCTGAAAGTCAAAAGGCTTTACTTCTCCTCTTTTCCAACCCCACACTGACGCACTTGCGTCCCTCTGGGGGGAACTGGCAGGGCCAGCAGAATAGATTGAGCAATAATTCCTTTTTTTGAAGATTGCGGTTTTGTTGTTTGGAAAGAAAACGGGGATAGTTCCTTTTTTTATTTCATTTTTTAATTCATTGGGTGCAAAGGGCAAACTATTTACTGCATTCTGCACCCTGTACGAGGTCAAATGTTTTGGTGGAATTCTTCTGAATGGTAGACAGAAAATATGTGTCTTACATATTTCCTTTTATCCGCTAAAATGTGTGTTGCTTGCTGTTTCTTCTGTTGGATGTCGGAGTGTCACTCTGCTGTCCAGAGAGTTTGACAATTTGTTGAAGGAGGAAAGTTTCTCGGTGCTCTCTTTAATTTCCAGTTTAACCAGTTTATGTATGAGCTTGATTTTGTGACATAACAGCTGCATCTTAATATTTAGGCATTAAGACTTGGTGTCCATTTGGACTGTGGGCGTGTGGTTTGTTTGGATTTGATTGACAGCAACACATCAACCCAACAACTGCCATCACTTTGTAATGAACTTTTTAATTAGAAGAGCACAAAGAAAAACTGGAATATAGAAAATATGACACAACTAACACTCGCGGGTGTTGCACCCCATTGTTTATAGTCAGAACCTGATGGAGAAAATGACTTTTCAGGACTCTTATGAATATGAAAATATGCCTTTCCTTGAAAAACAGAACATATCAAGTACAAATTATTAGACAAACAGGGACATTTTTTAAATGTCTTAATATATGTCTGGAGGGGGATCTTTAAGTAGCTTATTTTTGTGCCTCGGTTATATAATAACCGACAACCTGTGAGAACATATAGGTCTGTACTTGGCTACATACAAATGGATAATTTGCTGTAAAGAGCCAAATGAAAAGCTGCACCTTTTAATGAAAGAATGCCAATGATGTGGGGCTGTGCCCAGGCATTTGGAGCAGGAATGTGTTGGATAACTGGCAGCAATTCACCCCTCTCCTCCCCCCTCACAGCTCTCCCAGGTGTGAGGACAACAACGAAACCCCGGGACAGAGATGGACGAAGAAACAAGAGGGCGTGAGGGCCGCAGGTGGAAAACAAACCACCACGAGAACGATCAGAAAGCCCCTTTTCTAGACACGAGATCACCTCATATGGGTCAGGACAGGTAAAACAGACATTTATGGCCCTCTTATCTGCTGTCTCCACCCTCCCCTTCACACAGATTTATGGCTTCGGGGCGGGCAGGTAGCCAATAATAATCACCTCTGGAACATAGCGGGGAGTGCTCACTTTCAAATATGTGCACGCGAATGCAGGCGGCTTGTGGCCCCGTAGGAACGTCTGTCTGCCTTTGAACACGGCTCCTGAGATCCCCGAATCGAATCGTAGCACATACATACAGCGTGCGTGGACCACATGCCCCCCACGCGACAGAGTGCACGGCCAGTCAGCTTCAGCCCTCCGCCGGTGACTCAGGGGTGGTTGTGAGTGTACCACTCAGAAAACAGCAAAGGTTTGCTGGGTTGTAGAAATGACCCCCACTTATTGATCCACATCTCATTGTGACTCATGGCGACAGCAGGGAACTGCAGCAGTCAAACCCCACCCTGTTCTTTTCCAGGCTCGACCCCGTGTAAACATGGAAGCAGAGGCCGAGGCCGAGGGTGAGGCTTGAGGGTGAGGATTGAGGGTGAGGATCGGTGGGCTGTGATGTAGCGGCACGCCGTCACAACAGCATCCATCGCTGTCAGCGGCAGAACGCGTGTGCTCTCACTGCAAAATCAGGTTTGGTTTTGTTTCTTCGATAAGTCCCTATGTCAGTCTCGGCCTCGCTCTCGCTCCACGTCTCGCTTTCTGTTTCGATGGCTCACCCGTGCTCTCTCTCTCTCTCTCTCTCTCTCGCACACAAACAGGCAGCACATGGCCAGCGTGAGTGAGTCACATTGGTCTGGTAACGAGAGCCTCCGCTCAGGGAGAGTCCCTCCATGCGTCCTTGGGACTGGGGCCAACCCCCTTTGAGGGTATCAGGTGCACCGTTCCTCTGGGCAATGGGAGACTCGTCGGCCCCCGACCACCGAAAGTAGCCGTTTCGCTGCCGTCGCTGTTGTTTTGGCTCATTTTCATACACGACACTAGTTCTTCTAAAAACAGAATTACTGTCTATGAGACGTTGGGACTCAAGGGGACGCGGCAACTTGGATGTCTCGCTGACATGGGCTCGGGGACAGTGCGCAGAGAGGGTCGACCTGCCCGGAAGCAGCCAGATGTGTGCCCCCCCCCTCCCACCCCGCTACACGCAGTACACAATGTGACTACAGTATGATGAGACAGGCTGCCTGTAAGGACTTGAACTGTGCCTACTTTTCAAAACAATCTAAAAAACGTCCAAGTGGATTCCTGCACAGATAATTGCACAACCCATTTGATGCCTATAAACACAGTATATTAGCTATTTTCTAGTTAGTGTGAGGCTGCACAGCAATGTTTTAAGCTAAAGGCTAACATCAGCCTGCTAACGTCCTCGAAATGACAATAAAAACACGTGCAACCTGTCTTGGTTTGGTTAATTAGCATACAAACCTTTGCCGATCAACCCCCTAATACATTGTGCAGCTGAGGCTGATGGGAATGTTCCCTTGTCTTAAGGTCAATGGGTTTCTTTAGTCAGCTCTTGGATGAATGCCTGTGGTTAACACAAGATATTTTAGAGGTTTGTTTCATGATATAAACAAATCTATAAATGTCCCTCTCTTAAATTCTGAAGCTTTCACATGTTTGAAAAAGAGAGAGACCACAAAACGCCATCACGCCGACCAGCTCGCTCTTCACGCCCGTTTTGTGTGGGATTGTGCTCACAGGTGCATCGCGTGTTGACGTGACGTCAGCTTTTTAATCCTGCCGACGGGAATCACGCTTAAAAAAATCAAACGAGTCGTGATTAGTTGTGAGTCTGTTTTCCTGCAACAATCCGTAATCCAACGGAGGAATCCCGTTGACCTTTTGTTGAGAGAACCGTGTCAATGGCATCCAACCATTCATAGTGAATCGGGTTGCAGTAGTTACACCAGTATAAACACTTTAACGCGGGCTAATTCACGTCTGTTTATTTGATTGGCATACCGGGAGCAGCTCATCGCTGTCATACCTTCGCAAGTACTGTGTAATATCTGCAAATATCAGCTCTTAAAGTGTGGCTTCAAGGTGTTTGAATAGGCTGTTATTTAGTGGTTGTGAATGCAGTTATTACAGCACAGAACTAATAGCAGGTTGGAGGCTCAATACTTACTCCTCCCAGCACGTGTTCACAAACCAGGAAACACGCCTCATACCTCGGCCAACCGGAACAAAGACGGAGCACGCAGTGTGCTCCACCTCTGCTCAAAATCCAGGTGTATTCTTTCCTCCACCCTTTTCTCCCTTTCAGATATACTCCCCACACACCCTAAAGGTATATTGTGTCCTTCAAGCGCGCTGCAAGTTTAACCAGACGTGGTGGAGCGTTACGCTGTTTTTGGCAGGATTGGCGGGATCAGGGTGTGTGTGGTTAACAAGACTGGGCCTGCTGGTATGCCCGCCCTGCCAGTAAAGAACGGCGTGATTGTCAGTGTTATTGCTGAGGCGGTAAATTTTGCGTGTTGGACGCGAGTCCCGTGTTAGATTCTGACGTGAGGGATTAATACGGACACCATTGAGTCTTTCGAACCCCACCTTTAATGGAGTATTGTGTTCAGACAAATATGAAGCTGCGTGAACCTATATTCTTCAGCAGCCGCCGTTTGTGGGGAGGCCGCCATTCTTGACCGTTTGCTGGGTGTGACACCAAATTCTGATGGATCGTCAACACGTGTCAAAAAATAAGTCAACCACACCTTCAACCTTGCACAACTTCCCTATTATTTTCGGTCCGCACACACTCGGCAAACACACCCAAACAATGTCCACCCGTTAGTCCTCTTCAGCGAGTCTGGCTTAATTGACACCCTTCCTTCACTGCACCAAATTGCCCGGCCGGGCTTTGAGGGCAGAGAGCGGCTTGTCAACAAGTGTGGCCTGAGTGAAGCCGCGGCCCTTCACCCAGAGTGACATCTACCTGACTCAGCAGCACGTAGGCGCTGTTTACTGGGCCTGTCCACCACAATCAACACGCCTGCATCTGGCCCGACTGTTATTCCGCTGTTGGGGGAAGTGTACGGGGATGCGAGCCCCCCCCCACCCCCACGCTTTGTCCTTCCTCATTCACATCAGGACGCGGTCGGGCACCCGGGGCAACTCATTGGCTCACACGAACAAACGCTTATTCGCTCAAAACACTGTCAGAGTATTTGCAGGACTTGTCCTGTCAAATTGAATTGGAGCTTCATTTTGGTTGCGTGTCTACCCATAATGCACAGCAAACACAATTACAAATCAATTTTCCAATCATAGACAAAGTTGCAATGAAAATGAAAAAGAAGATGCATTTTGGTCTGCATTCATCTTATTATTATTCGCTATTCTGCGAAACGTGACCTTGCAGAAGAAGAAAATTGAGTGCATTTTTACTTTTCTAACATGATTACATACATATATGTATTTCTCGCTGATTACTGCTTTCTTGCTGATTCGGTCTATTATGTATATTGTACTCCTGCGTGCACGAACTGTGCCCATTGCTCACATGTCAATCGGCCATCTGTCTTTAGCTGTGTCAGCACAAAGCTAGCGCGGAATTTCCAACTGTGACGGACTCATTCAGACAAGCACCTAAAGTGACTGATCCGGACGCAGGTGAGCCGACTTGTCCCCTCGGCTCACGCACGCGAGTGATGGAAGGACCCCTTCACTGACTGACGCACCGCCAGACGCAGCCGGCTGGTCACCTGAGAGAGTGAAAGCTGCTGAGCCCACATGTTGTCTCGTTTCCCAAGCATCCATCATCCAGTGTGAACCGGCGTTGAGGTTGTCATGTCTCTGATCTCCGTTGAGCAAAAAGCCAGTCGGTGACTGAGGAGCTGAAGACCGAGTCAACGCCCTTTGAAGTTGTGATGGTTGCACGCGCAGTAGAAGGTATGTAGTCCCTACAAAGAGACACACACACAAAGAAGTAGTTATAGCACTGGTGGTTTGGGAGGTAATTACAGGGGAGTGAATGAATGTTCCATTTGAAAGGTGTTTGAAAAGGGAGTTGTCATGCAGGATTAGAAGAGATAACGTCCTGTTTTTAGGGTCAGCACAGGGCATGCTCTCCCTAACCACAGAGCGCCGGAGGATCTCGCTCCCTCTCCCAGCTCACATCTACATACGTGGGATAACGTGTCTGTTATTATCCACGATTTTATTGTCTCCATCTGGGGTCATTTTAAGGTGGTAAAAACATTCGGTGAAGTTCAAAAGTTCAACATAAGAGACAAAGAGTTAACTCAGTTTGTAAATACAATAACTATCCTTTATGCATAAAATGAAATGAAATAAAAGTGTTCTTATACTAATATTATTATTGTTATTACATAGTTGCGACATGTTATTACATTATTATGCTATTGCATTATTTTTAATTGAAAAATCGTTTGTGTTTCGGGTTAAAAATGTTGTTTTATATGGAGAAAACATTGAATTATTAAAATTCTCTTGAATAAAATTCATCATTAAATATTATTGCACCATACTTATTAATGATAACAGAATCTTAGGATTTGAGGGATCATTTTCACAACAACATGTTAATTTAATTGTGAAATCTAATTAGCCATCCTTAACTTTTCATCACAACCCATTATCAGTAATGTAAAAAAGGTTGCTCATGCTAACTACCGAGCAGGCTAACTAGCTATGCTATGTTGCAGGTGTATGACTCAGCATCAAAGTGGAGGGACACTGTTCGCTCAGAGCTTTGTTGTCTTTCTCTGAGGGTCATCTTCAGATTCAAACTTTGAATGAACGGGCTGGTTTTAGTGTCCACCGTTAAACTTAAGGTATGATTTAAACTCATGGAACCGCCTTTAGCCGGCTTCGTAGGCAACGTGTGTGTTGATTCATGGCTTTGACTTTGACTGATTTGTTGTTTCTTTAGTAGATGACAGAGAAAACGTGTGCATGAAAATAAGTGGTGTTTGACATCATTATGACTTCCCTTGAAACCGCTGTGGTGAAAGTCAGTTAAATAGCCACAGGAAGCTAAATGAACATCGGCAACCGACAACATCAAGCTGGTAACAAAACGTTACATAAAATGAAACAATGTCACATAATCTATAAACATCCATTGTGTCCCACACAACATACACACAGTTTCAAGTAGGTTAAATGCCATGAAATCACCATTTAACTCCTTTGTAAATGGCTTGTTTGAGCACCCAAAAGAGTCTGCAAATAGAACACAAGCCAAAGAAAACAGTGAATGTTCAAGTGGCTTAAAAGAGTTTGGTCTCTTAATATCTCTTTTAGGAAACATAAAACTAAGCGGCCTGTTTGAAACAATCCTCTAATCCCTATTAGATTACCGGTGAGTTGATTCGGCAGTTGGCAAATCCCAGCATCACCACTACAAGCCGCTGGTATGAAAGGCCCGCGTATGATGCAGAACAAAGGCTTATCTGTTTCACAAGCGACATCTATTCATGTCTTCACCCTCACCGCTTTGAAAGAAACTTTCAAATGTCCGCATAATTAGTCTGCTTCGCTGGATTTGGCCCCCTGTGGGGGGTGAAACAATCCCACAGACCAACATTCACCCAGCAGCTTGTCAAGAAGATAAACGTCTTTGACTGGAGAGAGCGGACAAAAAAAAGAAAAAGAAAAAACGGTATTCCATTTCCCGTAACCAGGAAAGGGGAGGGAGGGGGGGGGATGTTTGGGAAGTTTGGTGAGTCATCACTTTTCTTACCGGTGATGCCCTATTCTGGCCCTGTGAGGAACAGCCTGAATAACTGCGCGGCAGATTGCCCCGTCATGCTTTCAGTGGCCCTTCTGCAGTTTGGACAAGCGTCTCGCATTGAGAGTCGCAGCTGTCTGAGCGGCTGTCACCATCATAAGCTCTCTTTGTTTGCACACACGGATTCTTCACTTTGAAACCTGAGGAGGTAACAAGTCCAGACTTACAGCATTAAAAAAAAAAAAGGGAAAAAAAGAAGACGCATGCAAAGACTTGAACTGCTGCTGGTTCAGAGCATCAGTCTGCCATCAGTTGAATACAGTGGGTGAGATGAGTCACTGGACATCGGCCACCACGCTGAGAATTTATTACTTGATAACTTCTATCTAGTGTGACAATAACATGCTGACGAATGCTTATAAAATGATGACGGGGCTCAAATGTGGGAGCACTTGCAGCAGTTTTAGGAGCATTTCATAATGGAAAGTGCTTAAATTCTCACAGGGAAAACCACAGCTTTTATTGCTCTGCTTTCCTCTCCTATTTTTGGGGTCAGCTCTTTTGTGTAGCCACTCATTGGTCCTTAGAGAACTCGGTTCCACTAACTGATCCTCCACATCATTTTGCGGTCAGGTACCCTCCCTAGCGGGCCCCCCTGCACACCTCACAGAAACACCCTTAAACCTTCTATTAGGGGCCATC